CAACGTTCGACACAATTGTTTAATCGAATTAAATTTTCCTTACTGTACCGTTTTCTTATTATTTTCTTTCATAAAACATAAAACTACTAAGTCTGGGTCTAATATAAAGAACAATTTAATTAAAATATGTGATACGAGTATAATCTATATAAGACAAAACAATTTAATTAAAATACCTCTCTCCTATGTTTCTCAACAAATTTCCTTTATTATTTTTTGGTAGTCTTATTATTGACGAGCTTTAATAATAAAAAAAAACACAAAAAGATTACGAACAAATTTAATTAAACCAATGGACGAACACAAGTATGCGTAATTATGATTATAAAGAATGTGTACAATTTTAAAACCTAACCAGAAATATAAAAATATGAAATAAAAATCCAACATATGGAACGCAGTAAAAACTATACCAAAGGATAGATTTCAAATACACCGCAAACCCATCCTTAAATTAAAGAGGGTTGACACTTGGCAAGTTTGTAAGGATAAATTATGACGGCCCAACGAGTGGCAGTCATTAATAATAATATTAGCTATGGCACATTGTGTAAGCCGTCTAGGCTCGAATTTAAAGACTTGTTAATTTTGAATAAGATCCCAGTTGAAATTACGCCCTGGCTTTAAGAGCCTTTAAGTTATTGGACGTAGTTAACGCGACGCCAGCACTATAAATTATACAGTTTTTGTTACTCATAAAACAGTTTGATTAAGTAAATAAACTTGTAAATACTTAATTATAAACATTATTCTATTGAAATGAAAGATTTTCAACTAAATTGAAATAGTTGTTGCGTAATATTTCAAACGACCACTTTATATAAATAAAAAACCTAAGCTAGCTAAATATCAAAAGCTCTACGTAATAATTTCTAACAAACCGGATAATTATCTTCATATCAATGTATCTAACATTATAACAATTTTCCTCGTATGGTAATTAAAAAACGTAATAATAAAACCTACTGCCACTGCCTCTATTTATATATAATAAAAGTAATTTGTTTGTTGTGCATTTGCTATTTCAAACAACTGCCCCATATTGCGGTCGGACGGTTATTTACATGATACCTAACTTAAACAATCATTACTTTTTGCCCATACGTTTTTCTGTTATCTGCGTTGATCTCAAAATCTGTTCCAGATTTTAACTGAACTTTTAATGGTACGTAAAGAGGATTTCTGTGTAAAAACATTAATAAATGCTATCAATTGATTATAGCGAATGCGTAAATAAAAAATAAGGAATAAACTTATTATTATGTTCGTTTAATAATAAATCACACGAATAAACAAAAGTTCCTATTTAATGTTTAAAACGACAAAGCAAAAATATCATAAATTACATATTATTGAACTCGACCTTTGGAAGCTACGAGTATGTTATTCAGAAATTGAGCTTTTAAATTAAACATCTTTAATAATAACTTTGACGTTTTATCCGAAAAGCTTTTTATCGCGACCACACACTCCACTTTTACACATAAGCTTACACGCAAGAATCAAATTATTTTTCCTTGCATATAAATGAGCTTTGCTACAAATTATATTATATATTGCATGTGACTAAAGTCGAGTCGCAATTTAAGATATTCGCAAAGCACGTATATGTTATGTAATTGTGTAAAATATTTTACTTAATATAAATATATAGATCGAAGAGCTGTGCATAAATTGAATGTTTATGAACTTAGAAAATATATTGTCAGCTCTAAGGATAAGAGTAGAATCTACATTTAGTAATAAACATCGCCATCTATCGAAAAATTTCAAAACTATTTGTACAAAATTTTACAATCCTGTAGCATGTTTGACTACTAGCGTCCTCTATTGGCACTTTCTGCTTATTTAGCACTCGACTCTTCTATACATACATATAATAAAATTTTAAGCCGAATCTGTACATTGAATATTTTTTTGAAAATCTTATTGAAATAGACATTATTATCGATATAAAGGCCGAATATATAGTTTTTAGAATTTTTGTCTGTCTATCTAACTATCTGTCTGTCTGTGACCGCATCACGGAAAACCTACTCGAGGGATTTTGATGAAATTTGGTATGACGATAGCTGGTTATCCGTGTAAACATATAGGATTAGGATACTTTTTACTGCGTGAAGATATCACATTTCTGAGAAATCTATACTAAACGTTAAAACTAAATTCGGACGGAATGAAGGTGAGCCGCTAGTAAATTATAAATTTTAATCAACTACAAACACATTTTTTTGTTATTATGAAAATACATATGTAGATATAAAAATTTAAATACACGCTTCATACAAAGCAGTGAAAATAAATTTAACAAAGACACAATTTAAAATAAGTTCGTGAAACGCGAGTTTAGATAGAAGCGATAGAGCATGGGCAAGTGGGTCTCATCCACTGAGGGCTCCGTACCACACTATATATTTGAATTAAGTCTTACGTATTTTAAATAAAAATATTTTTTCGGATTTATTCGCAGATTTATTTGCTTTACAGCAATCGTGGTCAGGGGATAGACTCAGTCTCAAATCCGAAAAGATAGTTTTATTTTAAATATCAAATATTCGCGTTAATCTAAGAAAGTATTCATTTTATTTACCAATAAAATGAAACCTGAAGTTGTTATTGCTTCTTTTGATAAAACATTATCCCACGATTATCTGTTTTTATGTTATTTATTAAATGATCAGCAGTAATAATATATATTTTGTGGAAATTTCTACCGACTACCCATCCCAAAACTACAGCCCTTTAAATGTGGGAGTAACGGACAGACAGACAGTAAAGTGAGTGGCCCTATAATAGGGTTCTACTCGGACCTTTTGGGCGCGGAACCCTAAATAATACAAAAAATATTCCCTACAATTTATGCGTTACGACGGAACATTTAAACTCGCCTTAGAAATGAGTGCCGTTATCCTTACTCATATTTATGTTTTATTGCGTTGCTCCGGATAATAAACCCTTATCATTGGTTCCCTTTTTAACTGTCTATATATACAATCGTTATATTTTTGGGACTAACTGAACAAACTGAGCACGTTTTAAATAGATACGAATAGTTATTGCGAGCGTACTTTAGGAGAAAGACTTATGCTATTGCAGATTTCTCTTATAGGCCGTATTAACATACTCGTACCTAAATTTTTCTCGTACATTGTGTTGATGTAGGCAGTCAAGGCTTTGGTGGGTGGGCTCAGTAGTGTACTCGCGAAGCCAAGAAACGCACAGGGAGGTGGCCCGCTTCGGTGGGCGGTGGGAGGCGGCCCTCTTCGGAGGGCGGTGTACCATGCGGGTTGCTCCTGGTACTTCTCTGATAGCAGAGTGGACCTTGGAGCAACCCCATGGTTGTTGTGGTCTGCTGCGGCAGACCTGCCGTCGGGGCGTCGTAGTTGAATGCGTAAGCGATCCTGCGACGCCCCAATTAAGACGGGGGAAGGTTTTGTTGTGTTTTAGTGGGTAGTACTGGCTTCGCCGGTGAGTCCCACACTTCGTGCGTAAATGCATTTCCCAACGTTAAAAAAAAAAAAAAAAAGGCAGTCAAGGCTTAGCCAGCGTTAGACATGTAAATGGTTTCGCCGGTTAAGCATACGGGTTTGGGCCCAGAGGCTTTCGGGGTTAATAATTCTCATTATTTTAGTGTTCAACCGATAGAGTTAGAATAGGTAGATTTCAGCACTTAATTGTGTATATTAGAAGAAATATAGGGGTAACTACCCCAATTTAAACAAAAAATTAAATGTGGCACTCGGAGACTGCCGCGGTAAAGCTATTGCATAGCATTTTTTATCAACTTATGCAATTATAATTATTTATTTATTTTATTAGTATTTCACGCCATCTAGTTCCATGGTAAGCTACGAGGTCTGTGTTATGGATACCAGATAGTTGATACACTACACATATATAACTTTAAATACATACATATTATAAATATAAACACCCATGACTGGAGTACAAACATTCGACAACACACAAATGAATGCCCCCAGCGCGACTCAAACCCGCGACCGCTGGCACAGAAAATAGGGTCACTACAAACTGAGCCAAGCGTGTCGTCAAACGTGACTTAAAACATAAATATCAAACTACTATTTTGTTTTGTTGCGCCATCTAGTGCCCATATTCTTATAGCTGTAAATAAAAGTAGCGTAAGACAGCTAGTTCGTAGTTTTTATACAAGATGGCACTAGCTCATAAAAAAAATAAACTTTCTCACAAACAGCTGATTACGGTAGTTTTCCAATACAACCCATGCCACCTAAAGGCGGATTGCTGGACTAAAGAGACAAGCGTGATATTTCAAAAAGTCATTAAAAGTTCTGGTATTTATCGATAGATGGAAAAACTAAAAAGTATCACCGCTGTGCCGGTCGGAGTGGGTGTCAGGTTTTTTTCGTTACGGAATTTCTGGATTCGGTCCCCACGCTCAAGGCCCGCGATAGAAGCTATGAATAGCTTAAAAAATCTTTAAAGCGAATGAAAAATGAAAATTTAAGTATTTAGAAGATCTTTATTTAACTTTATAGTTATTGGAAATTAAAATCATAACATAATTACAAGATGAATTATTTAAATAATATATGCATGCATAGATTGAATGTATATTTTGTTGGTTAATCATTGTCATTATCTTTCCCAATTCAGACAATTACGATTATATCAGTGGGATCGAAAATAATCGTTAATTTTTTGCTGGTCTTATAATTTTTAATCATAACGACCATTTGATAAGTAAAAAATGATTGCTGCCACGTATGAGCAGCAGCCTACCGTTCGGATGCCTTTTGGGGAGTCCCATGCGTATTTAGTTATTCCTTTGTTTTATTAAGGTTTGATGTACAGATTAAATATACAGTTTTTCAAGGCGGTTCAGAGTATGTGTGTTTGCTTATATATGACATTCATTCATATAACTAATAATCTGGTCACCTAGTTCTCGATCAGAGTATAATCTCTTCCCAAACTATAATAGGAATACATAAATAATACGAGTATATACCTAATTAGAGCAAATCATGTAAGCGAGCGTGACCAACCTTGACATGTGGCGCGGCGAGCAGCCGGCGCAGGTCGTGCACGCCGGCGGCGGTGGCGGGCGCCGCGCCCGCGCCCGCGCGCGGCCGCGCCGCCGCCTCCAGCGCGCCGCGCGCGCGCGCCCGCCCCTCCGCCGCCGGCGCGCGCCCGCTCGTCACCACCACCGTGCACGCTATGCGGTCGTACACCTACACACATACACACATTTATATTATACTAGGGTATTTAGATAACGATAGCCTATGTTTTTAAATAAAACTATCTTTTTGGATTATTTCGCGGATTTATTTAGATTTCTGATTCTCTCGTCTGTAACAAGTATATAACGCCTTTGAGACGTCTATAACCTCAGTCTATCCCGTCACCATGATTACTGTAAAGCATTCGAAACGTCGGGAACCAAAAATCAAAATAAATCCGCGAAAAAATCCGAAAAGATAATTTTATTTAAAACGTTCAAAATATTTAAAAAAACGATGCGATTTGTTATATATGTATAGTAACGTCTTAGCGATGGGTCATTATTGTTACATTGGGTAGGCTATATTCATTAGACAAAAAATACTCGTTTGCTCGCCATTATTATAAAAAAAAGAGTTAATAATTGCAGTCATCGAGTTCCCTTGAAAGACCTACTCATTAGAACAACGAGACAGTATAATACTCATACATTAAAGTTTACATGTATGCAAAAAAATATAGACATTGCTTGATGTTGCAATTATATACAGCAAGCCAACCAAACCTTGCTTTGCTCAGAAAACTTCATTTTATCTATAAAAGTTGTGTCCACTAGATAAAAAAACATTTGCGGTACAACATCCACATACAAAAACACAAATAATTTCTATTTAACTATACAAAAAGTTACCTCTAATAGGGATCGCAATTGTATATCGTCCAATACACTGTGGAACAAATCCGGGTCCATGAAGGAAGGTCCGTCCTGGAGAACCGCGACGTCATCCAATGATTCCACTACGAGATTGACAGCTGTAAAGAATAATAATATATATGTCGGAGACGAGTCATAATCACAACTAATCGGAACGCGAGCGCCACCTTTTCGGGCTCGACAGAGTCTACGTCGTGACACTCGCCCGGGCTCGCCGGAGTTACGCTTGGTCGGTCGCACAGTGAACACTGGCAGAAACTATCTTGCGTTCCGTATTGTCTATACGTGGTAATAGTGAAGTACTGTGTAACTATGCACAAAGTGATTATTGTTAATTTGAAATACAACTGTGATTGCATCGACTTTCATTTGAACCAACACTTCCCGTATAACGCCCACTGTATAAGTCATAATAAAATAATGGAAAATAATAGAGAAAATTAATGCTGCTTCTATATATACGTTTTTTTTTTCTTCAAAATACACGGATATTTTTCATCTTAACCTATAATAGAATTGAATTAAAAACCTTTTTATAAATAAAACCTTAAAAAGAATCGATTTCCAGGCACTAAAAAGTAAAAACTAAAATAAACGGGGGTTTTGATTTAGTATAGTTCTAATCATATATTTTCGAAGTCGGTGCCAGCTAATGCATCGTCCCAACATATTTATTTACTACCGACTTACCCTTGCTTCGCTCGGGTTCGTCCTTTGCTTGCTTCCGAATACAAATTTTCATCCCCATTTTCATTAAGGGATGATTTACTAGATAAAAATAATCCTATGTCTTTTCCAGGGTCTCAAACTATCTTCTTACCAAAACTTCATCTAAATCGGTTCAGAAGATTCAGAGATTACCGCCCACAACGTCACAAACTCACAAACTTTACCTCTTCATAATATAAGTATAGATTTATGAATCCCTCACCAGCGGCACTGGCCTCCTCCAGCAGCGCCTGCCGCCGCGCCGGCTGCTCGTCGTCGTCGTCGTCCGCGGAGGCGGCGGCGAGCGTGGCGGCGCGCAGGCGACGGCGGCTGTTGAACTTCTTCAGCTCTTCCACTGTACCGGATAGGTGGATACGATTTTGCTTATCGCGATCCTGTTCGGGTAACGTTTAATACGTTTTAAATGAAACTATCTTTTCGGATTATTTCGCTTTATTTATTTTGATATTTGGTTACCGACGTTTCGAACGCTTTACAGCAATCATGGTCACGGGAGAGACTAAGGTTATAGACGTCTGAAAGGCGTTATATATGTACTTGTTACAGACAGTGCCTACCTACAATTTTATAAAAATGATTTTCAAAAATCCAAAACTCAAAATAAATCCGCGAAATAATACGAAAAAATAGGTTTTAATTAAAATATCAAATATTTGCGTAAATCTAAGAAAGTATGATTTAATAAGTGCTTTGATTCACTTTTTGAATAAAACTACCTCTTTGGGTTTACCTCTGTAACAACTATATAATAACTTTTAAGACGTCAACATCTTAAATCCCTCCCGTGACCATGTAACGAACCAAAACCAAAATAAATTCGCGAAAAAAAAAATCCTAAAAGATAACACTTAAAATGGGGAATATTTATTTTGCAGTTTTAATGTTTTTAGTTTATGTTTAATTCATATTCAGTATTGGACTTACTATGTATGTACCAATATACGAGTAAATTAGCTAACAATATTGTAGCATTTTTTTACTCTGAAACTACATCATATTCCTCACATTTAATAACCAACAACATTAACCATTGATTCAACGACACACTTCTCTAAATCCACTCTTTTAACTCTGAAACCTTAAAACTTGATTAATTTTCAACTATAAAATTAGATTTAGTTGCTTTAAAATCAATAAATAAATAATTAAAAGTAGCAAATAAGTGTGACATTACACGTTGGAATTGCCATATAGTCTATCCCCACATCATACCTTTTTGACAGCTCATCAAAAGTATATCAATTGATTGGTGGTGTCAACTAACCAAAAAAAAATGATTAAAAAGTATTAATTAAGAACATTTTGTGTAGTGTATAGTGTCCATGGTGTAAATTTATGTCCATATTATTAATTTCTTAATCAACACAATTAACATTGATATATAAAAACTTAGATACAATTTACTAATTTATATCTCGTGACGTGACGTTAAGTCAAATCAAAGAATAAAATTAAAAAAAAAAATTATAGATATCGAAAGTACTAAATATCTAAACACAAATTCGAACTTACGCAGACCACATAAAGTACTTTTTTAAACGAAACAATGCGCTATTTAATTTTATAAACGCAATGAACAAAAGAGATTAGAAAGAAGCGCAAAATTTCTAATTATGAGCATCTTTTTGAGGACACTTTTGAGACGCTAATTGTGTAATTTTTAATTTTTGTATATCAATGACAAGTAGGCGAAATTTTTCCCACATTCAGTTGATAAAAATAAAGAACCACATACCCTAATCCATCGATGGTTAAGCACTTCCTGTATGTTTATCCTTTGCGTGTGATCTACCGTCAGCATGCGTTGGACGAGGTCTTTGGCGGCATCGCTTATATCGTCCCAAAGTGGCGCGTCGAACTAATTAAAGGGGATTGGATAGATATATTACACACATTTTATATATATTTATATTTTTTAGGTTATATTTTATATTTTTTAGGTTTTTTTTATTATCTGTTATTTATAGTAAATGCTATTTAGACTTCTATTGACATGAATAAATAAATAAATAAATAAATATGTCAGCACATTAACACACAACACCATCTAGTTCCATGGTAAGCCAGGCTTGTGTTATGGATACCAGATAGTTGATACATTATACATATTATATAACTTTTAAATACATACATATTATAAATATAAACACCCATGACTGGAGTACAAACATTCGTGCTCAGCACACAAAGCGGGACTCGAACCCGCGACCGCTGGCGCAGCAAGTAGGGTCACTACAAACTGAGCCAAACGTGTCGTCAAAATATTAGATTAATTTTAGTATATATACAAAAATGTTTTCTTTTTAAACAGTAAATATATAATCTATCAATTTATGTATTTTCTTATGTAAAATTCAATATAAAAGTAATTTGTTATAAAAACTTAGGGTGTAAGAATTGATTGGTTGAAATATACACTAAAAAATCCTAACTCGCATAGTTTTATTTGCGCTGAGCCACTATTAGTGAAAAAATCAAATTACATTATAAATTGAACAAATATGAATTTTACTCTATTTTAAAAGTACCCACCGCTAGAGGCCCACACTCTTAATGGATTCAAATATAATTTTCAACTCTCAGTTATGCAAATGCAGAGTGAAAAAATATAAAAATCCACCCCATTTTTTATTCTTTGTAATTTCACTACAGAATAGACGACATTATAAAGTTTGATTGTTTTGCTATGAAACTTATAGTATATATAGGTTAGTAATAAAAACACCAAAATAACACAACACATAAAAAACCTATAAAAAAATCACTTACACGTAATCTCCCACGGCAAATTGCCTCAAACAGCCGCTCTCTAGTGCCCGTGAATGGCAAGTATCCCACCAACAGCACGTGCAGGAGTATACCCGCAGCCCATACATCCACTGGTTTTCCATACAATTGACTTGAAACCACCTCCGGTGCCATGTAGTGGGGGGTTCCGATACGTCCTATAAAGATATTTGAATTTAGTATTTCATTTTAAAAAACATTTTGTGTGATGGCAACACTAAATTGACATTTTGGAAAGAAAACAATATATGACATTTTTTTTCCATAATATTCCCAATCTTAAGTGCAGTTTATACGTTGTAAGTAATAAATTAAAAAAAAAATCATAGATAAATAATATCCATTTAAATATTTTTATAATACAACTATATACAATGTTTGACAATCACAATTGCAAGGTGTTTAGCGTTTAGATTAACTAATCAATAGAATCATTTAATCTCTATTTAGTTTCTTGTTTATTTAAAATGAAAGCCAATGACATTAGAGTAATGAAATTTTCATTATAATCATTTGGAACTAACTCACAGCAACTAACTTTCGTCTAAACTACTTAATTAGCCGAACATTACTTTTTTTTAAATAAAAGCTCGTACTTAGGCAAAGCGTTCTAATATCATTTATACAAAAAAATATATATATTCCATGAAACTATAACATCGAAAATATTCAAATTAACCGGTAAATTTGAACATTTTAAACTATTGAGTTAATTCCAATTATTTATAAGACGATGTTTATCGAACACAGGTTACAAACACCACGAGCACAGTGTTGAGTGATTGTGCCGATGCATATTTCGTGTAAATCAACGTGACAGCACTAGTATGCCTGTTTATAAGACACCTAGTTGGTGAACATGAGTGATCGTGTGCCGATGAAAATTGCACTTAATTTCCATGCAGTTAGGGCACAATTTGCTTCGATCTCGCCTTACCATACTCATCGGATTTGAGATACGCTTGGCCCATAGGACCCACTAGAGGTCGATTGTCCATCACCAGTTCTGTACACAATTAATTGAACTCCGTCAAAAACTTTGCACTTGGAATACTAAATATTAAACTTTCATATAAAGATTATACAACCATCTAAAAAGTACTTAAAACGTGTAATTTTGCTGGAAAAAGTGAACACTTGTCTATGTATAAAAACCTTACCTTTGATTTACTTGCCCCTCCAATCTTAATGTATTCTTATATTTATTTCATTATTATTATTAAAAAAAAATCTAATAAGACAAACATTCTGTCAATCTTCAAAATGTTACATTTGGCATCAAAAGTTTTATTTGTAATAACTAAAATTAGGTTAATTTGTAACAAAATATCTTTTCTTCCTTTTATTTCCTTTTATGCAAAGAAATAAACATTTTAAAGACTATTTTGTACAAATCACAGTATATCTCTAACTACATAGCACTCTAAAGGATTAATTATTTCCATGAAATTTATATGAGAAAAGCATTATAAAATCGATTTACATAAATCCGAAGATACGTCTCCTAATTTTGCAGTCAGTCAAAAATTTTGTATACAGTTTCTATTATTACTTTGCTTCACTTACAATGCAACAGCGAATTCCACGTTTTTGAAATGTTACATTTTGTACTATAAATTAAAAAAAAAACTTAAAATTCATTTCTTGCGTAGTTTTTCATTACAATCGTAATAAAATTTCTTCGTAAAAAAACACCATATATACAATATAAAGAAAAATATATAAAAAAATATATATCAGAAAACAGACGCCTAAACCTTCACGCTAACACATTATCTATACAATAAAACACTCACCAGGTGGAGCCCGGTGGGCAGTGGGCGTGGGCAACTGCGCGGCGACCCCGAACCCGCCCAGCTTGACCGGCGCGCAGTTGTCTCTACCCGCGAGTAGGACGCAGTGCGGACGCACATCACGGTGCACTATATCGTTCTCGTGGCAGTAACGAAGCGCCTCGAGTATCTGACGCATGTAGTGGCTGGGGAGGTTGTTATATGTTTATGTTGGCCTGGTACTTCAAAATGCAAAAATTATATAAGCATTGGTAGCCCAGTGGTAACGCGCTCGCTTGGGAAACCGAGTGAAGCGGGTTCAAATCCTGGGTCTCGCACCACTTATATTTTCATGTGCGAATCATTTCTAACATGATTACCACTTGCCTTATGGTGAAGGAAAACATCGTGAGGAAACCTGCATGTCTGAGATAATCTAGCATGTTTTGGAAAGATATGTGCAGTCCGCCAACCCGCACTTGGCCAGCGTGGTGGAATATGGCCTGATCCCCCTCGTATTAAAGGGGATAGCCGTGCCCAGCAGTGGAACGTTAAAAAGTGTTGAATACATAGTTCAAAATGAATAAATCTATCTATTCAAATAAATAAAATTGAAATGTCTATTTGTAATGTCAAAATAACAGCTTTTAACTAAATGCATATAAAGTAAGTACATAAATATATACGGTATATATTAGAAAAGTACAATTTTTTAAATTATGGTCTGTCTGTTCAGCAGGAAATCGGTTGAGGAAAGCATTATGTAACAAAATACAAACTAACATTCAGTTTCATCACAATTTAATAGGTTTTAATTGTTTTCGCGGAACCCTTCTTTTTCTATAAAAAAAGGAGCCTAAGTTACTAATAATATCGCCTTATAACATCAGTGCCATCTGCTCATCATATCTGCCAGTGAGTTCCGTCAAAATCGGTGCAGCCGTTTTGGAGATTAGCCGGAACAAACAGACAGACACGACAGCCAAAAAATTTTTTTCAAAATAAGATCAACATTTCTTTCCATTACATCCATTTCCATTCATTACTTTCTTTATTTTTTGCTTTTTTACTATGAGTACATTAGATAGATATAATAAAACGGTTGAATATTGAGTTCAGACAATATCTTCAGCATGCAACTTCTATTGTTTCTTATTCTTTCAGTCTCTTTCAGTAAATATCTTTTCAGTTTCTTTCAGTAAATATCTTTTACACTAATATAAATAAAGATATACAGATTAAAGCATTTATTTAGTAAACTCTGGCCAAATATTTTTAACAGACAAATTATTTAAATAAATTACTACAGGTAAGGAATAAATCTTTATACATAAAAAAATAATTCTGTCAGTTCATAAAGTATGAATGTCTATAAAATTAATGCAACTGCCGTGAAACTTTAAAAAAATGTTGCACAGAACAAAGTGTTATGACATTTATATACATTATACTCGTACATATGTTACTTTATTGCCTCTCTATTTTAATTGAATTTTTAATGCATACCATGCGACTGCTTCACTGTAAACAAATCCAGCTGTGGCTCGACGAACCACTTCAAAACATAAGTCAGATCCATCCATACTGAAAAACAATCACAAATCTAATAAGTATTTTATAAAATAAAAACATTATATTATTTAAAAACAAATGCTGTTATTTATATTTTCTGTTGCTTATTTTACATTCACAAAAAAGTTATGAGATACCAATAATTTTTATATAATAATATTTAACATATATTTAACATATTATTTAAAATCAGAAAGTGGTAATTTATTTTTATTAAAATATATTGAAACGAAAATATGATGTTTTTATTTATTTAAGACTAGCGGCTCACCCTCGCTTCGCTCGGGTTCGTCGCTAGGTACGTTTTAAATAGATATAAAAAGAAAAAATCTTTCTTTCTCACATTTTAATTATATGTTTTAATACTTACCTATTCCGGACTAAGAGAAATCCAAAAATTAAAATATCATAAAAATTGGAACGCGGTCGAACGGGATAAAAAGTATCCTATGTCCTTCTCCTGGCTCTAAACTACCTCCCTGCCAATTTTCAGCTAAATCGGTTCAGCCGTTCTTGAGTTATAAGCGAAGTAACTAACACGACTTTCTTTTATATATATAGATTTTAAGTTAGCAAAACCTAAAAAACAAATGTATATTAATTCAATTAATGTTTTTTCTTAATTTGATCATTAATTGGAACTTAAAAATGTTAGTTAATTATCTAATATTATTTAGTGAATTTGTTATTTCAAGAATTTATTACCAAATTTTGGCAGCAGTAATAAATAAAATAGAAGTATGCCACATTCAATTGTTACTGGGCCCACAAAATTTTGTACCTATTAGCAATAGTACCTGGGGGCCAAGCTTCATTCAGTGTTTTTTTGTTGTTTTTCAGAAAAAATATAAAATTGCATCTATTCAGAAAATACTCATACATATATAAATATACTTAAAAAGCAAAACCTTATCTAAATACAAAATTTGATTTACATATTGCACAGGCAAATATTTTTGTGTGAAAATAAAGAGAAAATGAATTTCCTAGATTGAGACCTAGCTATAATGGATTTTTCATCCCTGTAAACGTCTATATTGCAAATTTCATCGAATTCGTTAGAGCCGTTTTCGAGAATGTGATTGCAAATACATACACAAATATTACTTGTTTAATAGTATATCATGAACATATATATTTTTGAATTACAGAACTTTTTTATTTTTTGTAACTTTAACAGAGTTAACAAATTATGAACATATGACTATTAATATCATACAAACTAAACTTACTATTCAAAAACCATATACAGCATGCCCTCAGAGCTGTAGGTCTCAAGGAGTTCCACAATATGGGGATGTTTTAGCATATGGCATATTGTAGCCTCACGTTTGAGATCTGAAATATAAAATCAGATGTTTGTTAATTTAGATATTATGTAAATGTAAAAAGTTACTTATTATTAAATATGAAAAGTTATATAAAATAACATATCATATATTCAGTTTAAATTATAAAATGTTATTCATATGGAATTATATTGTCCACTAGCATTTCCCGCGGGTCTGCCCGCGTTCAAATGACCAAAAACCAATTCTTAGGCTTTACATATTAGTATACTCTTACATTGCAGTTTTTGTTTTTTCTCAGAAATGAGATATTTTCCCGCGATAAAAAGTATCCTATATGTTGACCCGGATAGCCAGGTAAAATCAATAATTAAATATAATCAAATATAATAAAATCTGTCCAGTAGTTTTCTCGTGATGCGGTAACAGACAGACAGACAGACAGACAGACAGACAGACAGACAGACAGACAGACAGACACACAGACAGACACACAGACAGACACACAGACAGACACACAGACAGACAGACAGACACACAGACAGACACACAGACAGACACACAGACAGACAGACAGACACACAGACAGACAAAAATTTTAAAAACTATAGATTCAGACTCTGTATCGATAATAAAGTCTATTTCAATTAGATTTTCCAAAAAATATTTAATGTACAGATTTGACTTAGTTACAATTTTATTATATGTATAGATAACAGAACATTAAATGACAATTACATGTTACTAACAAAATGTACTCAAATAATATCTACAAATATAAATTTTAGTACAGTATGTAATTATAAGATTTTCTTACCAGCAGTACTCAATCCTGGGCTAGCAGTAAACCGTGCCACATCAACAATTTTAACAGCAAATTGCTGTCCAGTCTGCCGATGCACACATCTTCTGACAAGGCTGAATGGGCCCCTTAAAATAAAGTTTGTGGGTTGCTTTATATAAGAAAATGATTAACTATAGTTGTTTTTAATTTGAAGTAATTTTAATTAATCTTTGATATTTTTACTGCAATATTACAATAAAATTGTAGGTGCACTAACATTATAATTACTTAATATTCTTCGTATGAAATATCATAATAATAAAATATCTATCTTCCATTATTAAATGATGATGCTATGATTTAAGATATACAATATATTTTAAGTTTCCTTTGACTCACACAATTCATACAATTTAGAGTATGCATTTATTTATTTGAATGTTAATAATAATGTGGACAATATAATTTAAAATACTCATTCAAATTTTTTAATTTATTAAATGCAAATGTGTAAAAATATTAATAAGATTGCAAATTTCAGTTATATGTAAATTTTAATAGAATACTGAGGAAAGGTATTTGTGAATTATACTAAGTATTATGTACTTTTGCCTAGAAAATTAGTAATTTATGTAATTTTTATATAACAAATATAAAACATATTAAAATAACATCTAATAGCACTTTTATTGGGATTTTGATAACATATTATATTACTAATTTTATTCATTTTTGAAAATTGAAAACACTTTATTTAGCTAATGTATGTTACTTTTATTAAATAAAGCTATTTAATTAAAATGTTTATTATGTTTTTTATAAAATTTGAAGGAAAATGGCAGTATAATATTCTATTTTATTTTTTTTATTTTATAAGTAAATTATTGTAATAGATTCATTTAAGAAATGTTTAAATTTTTATCAACTTGTTGCTGACTTGAGCTATGTATTTTATGCATGCAGAACTTTGAATACCTGAATGGATAATTGTTTTAGGGTTAAAGCACTATAATTAACTTACTTGCCAATAATTTCACACAATTCGTATACATCATCGAATAGCACTTCGTCTTCAGCCATTTTTACCACTGACACAGTGCACTATATTTCAGAAAAATGCGAAAAATATCATATTCGCATCGCCTCAACCCCAAATGCTAGAAGGTTACGCCCAGGGTTGAATTATCTATACAACAATAGCTCTTACTTTGTATTGAACGTTAAATTATATTTTATTTAATTATCCGGTGCATTAGTTATAAACTTAATACAATAACCCGTGATTAGACGCAAATTGTGCATTATAAAAGGTGAAAAACTGCGCTTATTTGCTTCTGTTTTCCAAAACTTGTAAATACGTTTTATCACAATAAAAACATTTAGGTTGAAGTTATATAGTAAAAGATTATTAAAATTCCGTGCAGACTAATAAATACAATAATAAAAAATTAAATCATCGTAAAATAATTTCCCATCTCTTATTTTCTATTTACTTTTGACATTTACTAAGGGTTGCTAGCTACAATCGTATGGATTGAAGGTTGTACTTAAAATAGCTGTGTTGCCATCATTAGGCATTTGTAAAAATAATATGACGTATATTTTTTTTTAAATTGCTTATTTTAATAACGATTTTTTAATTGTATAAATTGTATAGCTTAAACAGAAAATATTTTATAACTACTTGAATGTATTTTTAGATTTTACTTCAATTAATATTTGTTATGTTATTTTCGTTGAAGGTATTTAAATATTTTAGGCGAATAAAAAGATATATAGTAACTGAAATATTCAATATATCAACTATTTGATATGCTTGCAAATTATTCCTAATAATATGGATTTGTTTTCTAGGTATGGCTTCACCTGAGATCGAGTTCAAAAAATATATTAAGATACCAGGTTATGTTGTAAATTATAACCTCCTTTCAGTTGTTTCTGACTTTTTAGTTATTAGAGCATTGAAATCTATTCACATTTTTAGGGTTCGGTTGCCAAATAGCTAATAAACGTTGTTTATAATTACGTCAGTCAGTCCGTCTATCTATACGGCCTTGTCATTTGTCAAGTCTAACTTTATTAAGAAAGAAAATAAGAATGTCGTTTCAAAACAATTAAAAAAAAAATATGTTACGGCTCAAACGAAAACACCACCTGATAATCGTTTTTTTTTGTAAATAGAAAAAATGGTTTAGCTTTATGTATGTATGTATGTATTTATTTAACGTTTAGTATTGATATCTTCTAGATGAGGTATTTTCCCGCAATAAAAAGTATCCTTTAAGTTGACCCGGACAACCAGCTATCATCAAATCAAATTTCATCAAAATCTGTCCAGTAGTTTTCTCGTGATGCAGTCCAGACAGACAGACAGACAAAAATTCTAAAAACTGTAGATTCGGCCTCTGTATCAATAATAATGACTATTTCAGTAAGATTTTCCAAAAAAATAATTAATGTACAGATTCGAATCAGTTAGAATTTAATTATTCGTTAATTGTTGTGGTCTGTTTCAGCAGACCTGCCGTCGGGGCGTCGTAGTTGAATGCGTAAGCGATCCTGCGACGCCCCATTAAGACGGGGGAAAGTTTTTTTGGGTTTTAGTGGGTAGTACTAGCTTTGCCGGCGAGTCCCACACCTCGTGCGTAAGTGCATTTCCCAACGTTAAAAAAAGGTATGATTGTTAAAGAAAATAGGGTTTTTAGGGGTGACCCCATCGATCACTGCTTTGGATAGCTAGGTACGCTATATACCTTCTGACGAGACTAGAAACATAGCAGATAAAAAAACAAGATGTTTAAATGTTTTAAATTTTATTTCAAATATTTTAACTTCTCCTTAATTACTCTTATTATTATTTAAGTGTAAATAATAAAAGGTCAGCTAGTATTAAATCTCAAACATTTTATTTCTAACATTTTCTTAAATAATGTGTCACAATGTTGCGAAACCCTAAGGAATAGCTGAAAGTACCTACCTACTTATCTTACAATATTTTGTGCAACAGTCTATTTTATGTAATAAAAACTATAATATTAATAAATACATTTACTTCAATTTATTGATTATTCCTATATAAAACCTATATGACCTACCAGTGACCTTTAACGAATTTGTGTCATTTATCGATACCTGTACGTATCTTGATGCTAAAATATTTAGGGCTTACAATTAACATTGGCAGATGTTACTTTTTTCTTAAAATAATTACATTCAGGAACAGTTAAAACAAATTCGGAGTCTGGTGTTTTTGTTTTCCATGATCTGTTGATGTTTATTCTGTATTTACACCTATAATCTAATTCATATATTTCGAATGAGTTTTGCTGAAATAAAATACAATTATGAGTCAATAATAACATCAAAATATTATAATTATGTAACACATCTGGGCTTCAATATTGTAATAGATAGGATCCTCTACTAAATTATAATACACTAGCGACTCACCCTCACTTTGCTCGGGTTCGTCCCTATCTTGGTTCCCAATACAAACTTTCATTCCCATTTTTACCCATTTTTAAGGGATGATTTCCGGGATATAAAGAATCCTATGTCCTTTCTAGGGTCTCAAACTATCTTCTTACAAAATTTCATCTAAATCAGTTCAGTAGATCCAGAGATTACCCCCTACAACATTACAAACTCACAATCTCTCATAAACTTTACCTCGTTATTATATTAGTATAGATAATGAATATTTACATAAATATGTATATTAGTGAGTGAACAAATTAGCAATCAACAGTTCAGTAACCATCGAACTACTGGATCATTTAATTATTTCAAATTATAATTATTAACATGATTATTATTATGTTTTACCTAATAACGATTTGGAAAATAAGATGTAAATAGAATCGTTTACATACCTCTGTTATTGCCGATAATTCTTTTAGCTCCTTAATGGGATGTTGACATGATATTGTTTTCCAGTGAACGTAATATCTGTAAAAAATGTATAAATAAATAAAATATTGTTTGTATATGTAAATAATAATAGTATGTACCTGCGTATTAACAATCTTCATAAATTTTTAACTGACTTTCAATTCCAAAAAGAAGGAGGTTCTCGGCACCGACTTCGAGAATATCTGATTAGGTATCTATTCTAAATGAAAACCTCCGTTTAGTTATTTTTTAAATTTTAGTGCCTGGAAGTCGTTTTTTTTAATAATATTTAAAGTTCTTAAAATCGTGCCTCAGTTTGAGAACAAGGCCCTTGTCATGGAATGCGATAAAAAAGTAAAGTAGGTACCTACTTTAAAATGGTCAGGACATAAGACCGTAGCTTTTGTAAGAATGACTTTTTCAAATGGATGTTTGAAGTTTCGTGCAGAAATTGGTCTATTATTAAATAAAATGTAAATATCATTTTCAATGCAATGAATAAAATTTTCTTATGAAATCGCTTTATAAGTTACCGTCTCCGATGTCCTTTAGCTGCTAGTGTGGGTTGCCATGAAATTTTTGCTTTTATTTTATGGTCCAACCATATAAATTTATTTAATTTTACACCTGTAATAATTTTCTCATCCTTTCTCCTTGTAAGAGCCTCTGGCGCATTTCCTGTAAATAAAAAATGGATATTGTGTTAAAAATCTTGTTACACAAGCCTTTCTACAAAGAATTGTGTAAATATTTAAAAGCAATTCATATGAAACTCGCGTGACTTCCTCGAACGTTCCCTATGCAACACTTATACATTTTTAATGATCAAATACGTGCATCATGCGCAATTGTAGTGCATACTCATAAAATACTAGAATTTAAAGAAGTTGTATGAATTATTTGGGTATTATATAACTTCATTATATTAAGAAAAGAAAATACCTTCTGTAGCGTTCGTTGTGTTATAGAAAATTGCTGCTTTTTCACTGCGAAGTTTTCCGAGGCCGAATATACTGATAGTCTGTACTTGTAAGAAATACATTGAATTCGGTTGTAAATCACTAATTTCGACGTAAGTTTGTTCCTGAAACATCAGTGTCATTTAAATTGGACAACTAATATTATTGGGAATACCTAATGTGGGCATAAATGTCTGTAAATTTGTGTATGCTTGTTTGTTACTCCTTAGCGTTGAAACGGATGGATTTTAATACTAATACATAGATGATAGATAGACTATGACGTGGTATATTTGTAGGCTACTTTTAGATACCTTAGGAAGTGATAAGAAATCTTATTGTTGTAATTCGCTTTATCAATTTTATGCCTTGGACGTTCAAACTAAATTATACTGAAAATTAATTAACGGCAACATTGAACATTATCAAATTCATCTAAGTTGAATATGAGAATGAAAGCTTCAAGCTTGAAGCAGTTTCTAAAAAAGACAGAGCTTTTTTAGAGCTTGAACGATTTTTGTTTACTGAGCTTAGGTTAGTGCTATAAGTTAAGGTAAGTAAAAGGTTAAAGCATTGATAAAGAGAGTTAAATGGCATTAAATTACATCAACTAGCTCTAATACATTCTTAACTTAAAATAATCTAAAGATGTTATACTCAACACAAAACAGCTACAAGGTATAGGTATTAGTATCTGTATGTTGTTATGTAATTTGAAATCGTGATAATTGAATTATAGTCATGCGGTATGAATGGTATCGCTTTTGTCCATCTCTCTTGTGAGGTGCCATATAATGTTTTTGTTATTGTTTAATTTTATTTTAAATCAATCAAAATAAGGTTATAATAGGTATCTATAAAATATCCCTACAATGGCAATGTTTGAGAGTGAGTAAATGTGTGTTTGTTACTTCTTTGTAATGTACCTAATTAACAAAATTTAAGGCTTAAAAGATTTAAGTGAAATTTGGAATAGATAGCTTATCACGTGGTAAAGTAAATATGGTGATTGGTGGTAGATTCTCCACGGATTTAATTTAAATTTAAAAATGTAAAAGTGACGATGTATAAGTCTATGTATTTGAAAAAGGTAAGTAAATTTTGATTTTATTTTCTAACATTACCTTTGGAACGGTTTGATGATTAACAAGAACAGAATCTAATTCTCCTCCTAAGCCCCGAACTCGTCTGCTCCAGAAAACTTTGTAGCGCATAACCGGCAAATCAGATCGCGGCTCCTTCCATTCCAGACGTATTGTTACCGTATCTGTTATTTAAATTGTATATCTCGATAAGTACATATTATATTATGTAAATAATTACATATTTATCTATGTATAATATCAAATAAGTTTGTTGCACAAAATATATATATTAGTTTTTTATTCTCAACAGTCTTTGGCAAAGATATTGCTAACACTTTTAGATTCTTGCGAGATAAGATGAAAGATTTAGGATTGTAGTCTTGCTACAATTAGAAATTAACATCCAGTTTTATATTTATACCATAAGTTTTAATAGTTATAGAAGATAAAAATATTAAAACGCACATAAATTGTATTGAATAAATATACGTACTATTGTTCGATCGAATTGGCAAGACTTTCAATTTTTTTGGTGGCGGTGGCGGCCTGGGTCCTTTTCTTGGAGTAAACGGGGCACTTGGTGTAGAATATCCACGTGTACCAGATGCACTAATGGCAGCTACTCGAAAACGATACCACCGCCCTGGCTTTAATTGATTTTTAAGAGACACTTTAGTCCTAAAAAGATTTTTTTTTAATTATTTATTTGCAATTAATTTTAAAAATATAAAGAACAACGCACACTGCGGAGGATTAACCTTCGAATAAATTGTCAGATTAAGTCTTCGACTTAATCCATATAAGTAGCTTTAAAGGAGACTAAGAGCCTAAAAGCGAAAAGATAAGCTGAGATCATTTTGATTGACATTTTATCTAAATACGTAAGATAAGTAGCAAACAAAAAACCTTACCAAAATTCATTCTAGGAAAACAAACAGGAACAAAAATAAAATCGGCGTGATCAGTGTCGCAACATGCATTATCATTGCGGTTAACGCACGCTACAAGGAAAAGTATAGAAAGCCGATTGCATTTAATGACTACTTGTATTATGAATTGATTAATTTGATAAATCATTGATAGGCAATAGCATAGGAAACATTAAACCGTCATACAATAATTACATGTATAGTGTTAATAGGTGAAATAAAATATCGTAAAACTTTCAGCTTGAATGAAATTGCTTGCAACATGTTTTTTTAATATATATCAGTGGGTCAAAAAACATAAATCAATATTATAAGTTTGACACTAATATATATATAAATATATTGTTTACTAAATTAAGTAAAGTCATCAATAACTTTTTACAATTGAGCCTAATCTTATAAACAAAGGAGATGGAAAAACGAAATAACACCTCCAGGTAAATTTCTAAGAAATTAATTAAATTTCTAAGAAATCTATTGTTAACTGTAACGCCGGCGTGTCCGCGGTCATGGAGAGAATAATACGGACTACGAGTCTGGGATCCGGGTTCGATTACCGATTCAAGTGTCTGTGCCGGAACTGGCATAGTATATTCGCTGTTATGGCTTTACGTCGTGTATTATTTATATCCATGCCGATTCTGACCTTCATACAAAGTAACACGAGTTTATCCTAGTTATCAAATAACAATGCATTTATAATTTTGAATATTCAGAGAGAACGTGATGAATCGATTATTTTGTGCAAGGGTCAAAAGCCTCATCCTTTAGATTTTAGATTACAGCCAGTTTATTAAGGTTCGTGTTGAAACCTTCATGTTAGAATTCAACGTAACCAAGATAAATTAATATTTAGTTTAATTTGTGTAGGTGGATAATATGTTCAAATTTAACATCAAATAAATTTCATTAAACATCAATATTTAAGAATATTTCGCTACGTAAAGAGCAAAATGACGCACATAGTACCTATGTGACGCCAGTAAAAACCCATGTGAAATAATGTAATCCTAAAACGTCGTCCGATTAGCAAACATCATAAATGGCTCATATAATAAACAAAAGAACACAAAAAATAAAATGATGAATATCATCATAATCATAGAGCTAAATGTAATATTTTTTTTCATTTATTATAGATTTAATTTTCGATATACCCACTTATTGGTTCTTAATATAAGATTCCAATCACCAAGCCTCGCTTCTTCATATTTAGGACCTAAATGATGTTGTTCTTCCAAGATGTAAAGAACTCGCCCCGGTACAGCTCTTGCTGCATCACCAACGCCATCTGACCATTTTATTTGGATCGCTCTTCGCCTTTCCTTAGCTTCTTCAATCACTGGTAGAGCTGGCAAGCCTAATACACAATTACAACATATTTAATATTCACGTATAGGGTAAGTCCGGGAGAGACGCGTATAAAGGAGAGATACCTACTGAAACAAAACGAAACATTGAACTTAAATAAACTATGCGTATTTTATGTAGTATCTTACATATTATATACCTATTTAATAGTGATCTCTTCTTAAAATTATAAACAACTCTCTCTGACTTACCATATCGAGTTAATATGAGTAACATTTCAATTATTGTCTTAACTGGGTTGAAACAAAGTCCGTCTGTAAAATTTTTCCCTTCCCATCACCATTCAGCCATTAGACTAATACACATACATATGTAAATTCGTCTCGTATCATCAATTTCGTTACATCAACTTGATTATTCTATAACTAACTTACTTTCTCTTGTATTACTTATACTATATATAGACATACTTAAAATTTATAATACGATTGCGCAACTAATCATATTTAGTTATTCGATTCAAATTGTTTTTGTCAATCCGCTTCTTTATAGTCCACCCGTTAATTTTATTGCGTAAGCAGTAGTTACACTTCTTGCTGCGTTACAACACACGTAATACTTTCTATATCTTATCATGTTGATTGCTTTTGTTTGAAAAATACTTATCATTAATCTTTACCTGGTACAGTAAGTAGATCAATAGGTTCGCTGCACATAGAACTGCATCCGAGTTTACAACAACGTTGTGTGCCAGTACATTGCGAGTCCTGGTTGCATGCTTCTACGCAGGCTGCCATCCATCGAGGAAAGTCTCCTTCCGGACACGTACCCGGCTTCCGTTCTTCGGAACGGCATGTTGAACGACACTATCGAAAATATTTTTAATATAGGGATGTATTTAGATGTTCATAATAATATTTTTAATGAAACATATCGATATATATTTATAAAATTTACTGTATATATCTATTTATTGTCAAATTGGTATGGTTGAGTGATAAATAACTCAAAACAGATAACATTATAATTATCATGCACAAGAGAAAAATTTCACTCCTATGCAAGGAATTCAAAATTAAAACGAGTCTCTTAAAACCCAAGCCAACGCCAAGCCAAAATATATTAGATACTAGCGACTCACCTTTGCTTCGCTCGAGTTCGACCCTAGGTAATTATTTAATTGATATAACTTTTTTATTCATAATCCGATTGAAATAAAAACAGTTATACTAAATATTAAGTAACCACAACAAAAACCGCACCCAAATCGATTAAGCCCTTTCTGAGATTAGCGCATACAAACACATAGACAAACAGACAAAAATTCTTAAAATCATTGGTTTGGATTCTACTGCGTTAATAAAGACCGACATTAATAGTTTTTCTCATATATCTTCCATGTAGAGACAGCGATCGGTAACAATTTTATGATATTTACCTATAGATTCGCACAGAAAACACAGACGAAACTTAGTTTTGTGAATGTATCAAATTTATAGATTAAAGCTCAGTTTAATAGTAATCATACTACTATTATAAATAAAACTCGCATATAATATAGCATATTAAAAAAACGTACATATGTTCTTATTAAGTCCCGAAAGGCCCCATGAAAAGCACGCGTGTGAAGCTAGAGCAAGTCACTAGTTATTCTAAAGACTTTTGTAGAAAGCTCACAAGAACAAGCCCAAACTCAATTGCAGACAGGTTCATTAAAAGAACACAATTAGCGTCTTCGCGTTTAAAAACATAATGGCTTCTTTGAAGTTCTACGTGACCTAACTACGAAACTACGTCAGCCATGGTAATTCTTATTCCTATTGATATAAATGTTAAATTTGAATAAATAATAATTACTCTCATTTAAGAGTTTGTTTGTGGGTCTGATAAATATGGGTACTTGATATGTTCCACTTATAACTTTCGTGTTTTATTATTTTAATCAAAATGAAAGCAAAGTAAAACAGAACATAAAATGCTTCTATTTTAAAATTTTATGCAATGTAAGTGAATAAAATTTCAATCTAAATTCGTGTAATTTTTATACCTTTATCAAAAATTTCATTTATATCATGCGAGGGCGTTTGATTGTTTTCTCGAAACAATATATCCAACTCCCTACAATAATTATTGCATACAGATTTTAAACCAGACTTTCATTCCATATCCCATAGGGGTCAGAAAATATATCATAAGTCCTTTTAGCGGCCCCTCCAACTGAGCGTAAAGTAAAACCCACGAATTGTCTCTATGAAATATTTTGTATTTCATATACATAACATATTATTAGGTACATGTATTTCGAAATCTCATAATAATTTATCTAACAATCAATTTCAATTAGTAATTATATATATATATGAGTAGCCAACCCGCACTGGCCACTGGCCAGCGTGGTGGACTTGTCCTGATCCCACTCGTATTGAAGGGAGGCCCGTGCCCAGCAGTGGGACGTTAAAAAGGGCTGAATACAATGCATACAAATATAAGAAGAAGTCAGTTATACATTAAAAGAATAGCTTTGATACGATAATAGCTGTAAGACATAGAAGAATTAAGTGACTAGTCTTACTAATATTATAAATGTGAAAGTTTAGATGTTTGGATGTTTGGATATTTCGATGTTTGTTACTCAATCACGCCAGAATGGCTGAACGGATCTGGATGAAATTTTGCACAGAGATAGATTATAGTCTGGAATAGCATATAGGCTACCTGGTTTTTATCCCGGAAAAATGTATGGTTTCAGTGGGATAGATTTGTTTTTGTTTTTCTAGAGGCGAATCCGAGCGAACGAGAAGCCAGGGTGAGCCGCTGATATAACATAATGAGAAATGTAAATATTTTTTTCTTTTGCCTCCCTTTTCCTACAAAGTTCGTAGATTGATTCGACGTATCTAGCGCGATTTCATCTGTAAATGTAATCTTATTTAATATTTTTTTATAGTAATAATGTTTTTTGGTTTTTATTTATTTTTCGCATCACCAGAGTGATTATTGTGAATCCATTAAGTACGTGATTTCTGCATATGTACGTATACAAGTTGTAGTGTCAGAGTAAGTTGTAGCATAGCCAACTTATTAACCCGGTCGGTGCATTAAGTATTTTTCTCGGAATATTGTGTTTTAAAAGTTGCCTTGGATTAGTTAAAAGAGAGAATAATAAAAAGAAGACTTTGTGTGTACTTTTTTCTGTTTGTATCATTTTACCTAAACTTAAAAAGCTTGAAATTAAGGAAAGGAATGCGCATAATAGTTGCTAGTGGCCATATTTCTTTAAGCGATTTTTTTGGCTCACGTAAAAAATAAACTAAAGAAAAATAAAGAGAAAAAAAAATAGGTTAGGAAGGATCGAATGTTGAAACTTCCTTTATGCCCGATTTTACCAACAACCCATAAGCTACCACCTACATATGGGATCCTTAGCTTAAAAGTCCCCTGAGCTAGCCCCTAAATTAAATTACGTTTTACAATCGTCTTTAAGCCCATATTTCGAGCCCCTAAATTTAGGGGGCCTTTTAATATTTAGGTGACCCCTAACTGTCGGTGAAACAGAAACTGTCCCCTAACAGCCTCCCAAACCATGCTTAGGGGATCCCTTAAACTTAGGTGACGTTGGTGAAATCGGACATTAGAGTACCATCTATTTGCTATCATATAATTGGCTTATTTTGATTTGGTCAAAAAACAGATTTGCTATCCAGTAGGCACGTAAACCTTATAAGGTTTACGTACATACTTCATACTTTGGTGATTTCATCACTAAATGCGCTACTAATATTTTAAAAAATAAAGAGAATAAGACAGGAATAATATGACATGCTTAAAATAATTTATGGAAAGAAAATATTTTACAATATGGACCAGTTTCTTACTTATCAAAAAATGCTCCGGTAATTATGTGACCAAAAATTTATGCACGCTCTTAATTAATTAAAACTTGAACTAATTTGCTTACAAATTATTCAAAATATAGATACTTAATAAAGGAAAACATCTAATATATAATATCTATACCATCATTTAAAGAAGTTTTGTATTATTCTCTAGTTTAAATAATCGATTTGTATTCGTAGACTCGTAGTGGACTAGCAATTAAAGTAATTGATTTTTTTTTAAACTAACTTTCTAATATTCCTGATTTATATATAATGTTATTATTAACTGTTAAGTAGATACTACTTTTTGACCATGTCTTTCCATTTGTAGACAGCTATATTGTAGGTACCTACCAAAATCGATTTCCAAGTCGCAAATAGTAGCGTGAATGTTATATTATGCTCGACTCAGTATACAAATGGACATTTGTATACTAGTTTAAGACACTGAAGATAAAAAACAATTCTTTTTCTCTTCCGTGTTCTGAGACATATATGTACATATGTATGTACTTACTACCAATGTAATTTAATATTTTTGTAAGTAATCCATGGCCAAACTAATAGGAGTGATGTGGCATTTTAGGGCAGGTATTCTAGGCAACATGAGAATTTTAACAACACTTCTTTAATCATAGGCAGGTATAAAAGTGCAAGTCTGGCTGAAGGGTAGCGGTTGCGTTGCTACACTTAAATTTTCAAAGTATTAATTTTTTTCCATTAAAATTTTTTTTTAGTAATTTTGAAACATTTGTATGTTTTAATTTTATTAAAAATTTATTAAAAAATTTGGACAGGCAATTCCAAAATTAATGTTTTCTGGTAAATTCCAAAAAAATGTATTTCAGGCACGTTGCGATTTTACAGCATATAATAGGTTAAAAATTAATTATTACAAAAAGACAGATCATTTCGTCAGTTTTTTTAACTCGCCAGGCGATCAAGAAGATGAGCAAGAGTGCGGGTAAACAACGTGGTGGGGAGGCTCATTAGCGTCTGGCAATTCAGCCGGGCGCGAAGCCAAGAAACGCACTGGGAGGAGGCCCATCTCGGTGGGCGGTGTGCCATGCGGATTGCTCCTGGTACCTCTCGGATGGCAAAGTAGACTGTTGGAGCAACCCCATGGTTGCTGTGGTCTGCTTCGGCAGAACTGCCGTCGGGGTGTCGTGGTTGGGTGCTTAAGTCGCAGGATCGACGCTCTATTCAGACGGGAGATACATAAACATCTGTATGTATGCAGGTGGTGTATATTAATGCATTTTTCAACGTTAAAAAAGGTTATCTTAAATAAAATTCCATATTCAATTATAAAACTAATTATTATTATAAAAATGTTTAAAATAAAAAAATATATTATATGAGACTTTGGTGCCATTTTTAATTTTTTTTTTTGAATTAATTTTGTTATTTGTGGGTAGGCTGTCTGTAACAATTATATAATATCTTTGAGATATCTAACACCTCAGTCTCTCCCGTGACCATGATTGCTGTAAAGCATTCGAAACGTCGGGAACCAAAAAAAATCCGAAAAGATAGTTTTATTTAAAATTTCAAATATTCGCGTAAACCTAAGAAAGTATTAGTATAAAAAAGGTTATAATAGAATCTGTTAAATTTTAACGTTAATTAGTTTAGACGCCGTAACTTTCTAGAGTAATATTTTATCTCACCTAATACAGTATTTTAACAATTGATTATCTATACCAGTTACGACTCAATCATCATCATAAGAGTGTTATAAATTTTTTATTCATATATAACATTACATATTATATGAGCTTTTAATTCATACTTCTTTATTATTAGAACTAGCAACTACCCTCGCTCCGCTCGGGTTCGTCTCTACTTACGTTTTAACGTTTAGTATAAATTTCTCAGAGATGAGATATTTTCCCGCAATAAAAAGTATCCTATATGTTGACCCGGATAACCAGCTATCTGTCTAGTGGATTTCTCGAATGTATATCATGTAAAGAATATAAAATTTAGATAATTCAATCACTCTACACACTATTCGAATTAGTAGAATTGTTTACAAGTATTATGAATACAATTAAATTATAATATAATTTATATATGAAAATTTATATTAATGAAACGGATATCAAAAACATTTAATATATTTACGAGTCACGAATGAGTAGTAATTTATAATTATATTGACTCTTTTACAGCCAGGCAATTATAGTTATACTACGCAAAATACACTGATCACTGAGGTATATACTAAATATCATGTAGGTACATCATATAAAACCTTTTTTAAGGTAATATTTTTTACGTCCAATTTAAGGCTTGTATCACAGAATATTTATATAAGTTAACATATAAGTACTATGAAATCTATACTAATCTATACTAATAATAATATTATAAAGTGGTAAAGTTTGTGAGTTTGTGAAGTCCAAATTATGGTAATTTGCAGTTGCACAATTATTAGTATCGAACGACATATTATTTTACCAATTAGGAATGTAAAGTTGCTTAATTAAGTAATTCACAAGCGAGATAATTTATATTTTACATATTAGATAAGTAAAATTTTTATAACATACACATGTTATCGGAACGAGTATTCTATCGAAATCAAGTAGCTCTATGCAGTTCCTAATAATATGTATAATTGCTTAATAATCTATATTATATATATAAATATTATAATAATACCTGCGATCTAGTTTCCTTGCTGGCATCTAAGCATACCAAATCACAACGTGTTTTCGACAACGGATCTGTCTGCAGTCTGGAAAATCTTTTGGCTTTTGCCAAGGACTCCGGAATTAAATATACTGTGACGAACAACACAAATATGTATGTCTGCATTTTGATCTCTGAATTCGTTTTAACTCTCTTTCGATTAATCTATACCTCAGTTTGTATCATCTGCAAAAAAACACAAATCGATCTATCTTTAATGAAAGTAATAAAGACTACGTAATGGCTAATAAACTCCGACTTCATATAATCTTCTACTTTTAATGATGATAAAGAACTTTTATTTCAGAGAATCGTTAAATTACAGGTGGTCTTAAAATTTTATTAGGTAAAACAAAAAACTATTGTTCGTACAGCTTTTTATGTTACTAAAATTACTGGTCATATTGTTCTTCATGTGTCCATTTCTGATCACTTTTGTAAGAAAAAATGATATGTATACGTACTGGCAAGAAAAAGTGGAATGGTATACATTTGAAATTTTGAAATTTAATTTGTTAACAAAATATTCAATATCACTTTTTAAATAAATAAGTTTTTTAATAATTTGAAGGACGGCTACGATTATAAACTAAAATTATCAATTTTTAAATCTCCGCACATTCTAAAACTAATCACCTTATCCAATCCAAAAACATTCATCGGAGCGTCAAAATATCGAAATCAATAGAACAGAATCTCATCTCGATCTCCAAGTGTCATTGAACTGTAGTTTTATCGGGAATAAATCCGTTGAGGAGACGCGTTCACGGCGTTTCAAATACGCGGCAAGACTGACTGCGCGTACGCACACACTACGTGTCCCTACTTCATTAATACTCATCGCCGATGCTTTCCTGTACAGCTATGACGGAAGGTTGCTTACAAGCCGGTTTCCTAATTAAAAAATGAATGTACTCTTCCTGCTGGTGTCAATGTTTGATGTTTTCAAGCACAGTTATTATTTTTGTGGTTGAGTAATAATCTGAAAAGGTTTCAGGTGAAGGCACGATTTTAAATTTCGTTTTATCACGACTTTGTATAATATTTCACATTGTTAAAGCCTAATATTTATCTATACATATAATAAAATTGTAACTAAGCTGAATCTGTACATTAAATATTTTTTGGAAAATATTGTTGAAATAAACATTATTATCGATACAGAGGCCGAATCTATAGTTTTCTGTCTGTTACCACATCACAGAAAAATCACTGGAGGGATATCGATGAAGGTATAGTGATAGCTGGTTATCCGGGTCAACATATAGGATACTTTTTACCGCGGGAAAATATCTCATTCCTGAGAAAAAAATACATAAACTGCAATGTAAGAGTATACTAATATGTAAAACCTAAGAATTTGGTTTTTGGTCATCTGAACGCGGGTGGAGCCGCGGGCAATGCTAGTTTTTAATGTAAATGAATTAATTTTGACAATTATGATAACGACTACTACTCTTATACAATACATACACATGTACATACACATACATACTAATTGTTTATATCAATGGTTGCATTACATAAAAGCTGAACGCTTATTTATTTTGGTAAAACAAAATATGAAAAATCTAACGATGAGCATTGTTATTGTTATCAGACATTCCTATCAATGCGTAACACAAAAGACGATTCTAAAGAACAGAAGCTCTAATTAAGCCCTCGAAGGGCATCCGCCGCTGCAATCAACCGGTCGTTGCTACTTCGTCTTTGTGATTTATAATATCTTCTTTTTGATTCTTTTTTTCTGGAAGAAAAGCGGCTAATGAGAAGAATTGGTTTGCGATTCGTTGAAATGTGATCGAATAAATTAATATGCCTTGTTGAAAGATATAACTTCAAAATAAATTACACAATTTTGTATTCTAATGACATAGCATTTGGTTAATTTTTCTTTTCAAACAAATAATGTCTACACATGATAAGGCTTTTGCTTTTGTTCGTTAAACTATAGGTGACTAGTGATCACTAATCCATACTAATATTATAAATGCGAAAGTATCTGTCTATCTGTCTGTGTGTCTGTCTTTTACATTTTCACGTTTAATCCGTAGAACCAATTTAGATGGCTATGAAGATAGTTTGAGACCTTGGGAAGGACAAAGGATAGTTTTTGTCCCGGAAATCATTCCTTAACAGAGCGAAACGGAAGTTAAAAATTTGTATGCGGAATCAATCATTTCTCAAGTAAGGAATATAAAACTCATCATACCTCTGTATATATACTTAGTCTATCTATTCCTTACTAACAGTTAAAGCGTATTTATAATGAACCCAAGCGAAGCAAGGGTGAGTGCTATTAGCTAGTAATATATAATTATTGAAAAAATTATAATATTACTAGCATTGCCCGCGGCTTCGCCCGCATTCAGATGACCAAAAACCAAATTCTTAGGTTTTACATATTAGTACTTATACTCTTACATTGCAGTTTTTGTATTTTTTCTCAGAAATGAGATATTTTCCCGCAGTAAAAAGTATCCTATATGTTGACCCGGATAACCAGCTACCATTATACCAAATTTCATCAAAATCTGTCCAGTGGTTTTCTCGTGATGCGGTAACAGACAGACAGACAGACAAAAATTCTTAAAACTATAAATTCGGACTCTGTATCGATAATAACGTCTATTTCAATTAGATTTTCCAAAAAATATTTAATGTACAGATTCGACTTAGTTACAATTTTATTATATGTATAGATGAAGAAACACAACGTTATATTTTCTTAACATGACTGTCCGGTGATGTTCCCTTAGCATTTATTACTTGTAAATCATCATTTTATCTCATATGAATATAAATCACATCGAGCACTTAATGAGTTGTGACTCATTTGCTTTTAATTAATTGCACAATAAAAGTACAGTCGACTTCACAACGTAAATTTCATTTAAATCAGATTAAAGTACTCTTTAGATAAGAACTTGTTACGTAGTTTCAGTTTCTGTATTTTATCGATATCAAACCTAGGAGGTCATCTATTTAACATGTGTTAGTATAATATAAGCATGAGTATTAGGTCTTCTGATCAAATTAATTCATTAAAGTGCTAGTCCCAGGTAACCTTTTTTTTCATTGAAATAAAAACTTAATAAAAAAAAACCGACTTCCAGGCACTAAAATGTAAAAAATAACTAAACGGGGGTTTTCATTTAGAATAGATACCTAATCAGATATTTTCGAAGTCGGTGCATCGTGAAGAATAGGAAATCTAATATATTTTGATACGTAAAATACATATTTACCTATTAGATGTTCATATCTTAAAAGATTGTCCGCTGGCACCGACTTAGAAAATATCTGATTAGGTATTTATTCTAAATGTAAGCCCCCGTTTAGTTATTTTTTACATTTTAGTGCCTGGAAGTCGGTTTTTTTTAAGTTTTTATTTTTATACTTTTAGTGTAGACGTGATAAGCAGGTAATTTGTAGGAAGAAAGTTTTTAATAACATGTTCGATTAAACAATTTGTTTAAAAAATATATTTATTGTTGATTTTCTTAAAAACCACTCAACCGATTTCGATAAAATTTATATGGGACCACTTGGGCACTTTACCCTTTCAAACAAAATAAAAAATTTGAAATCGGTTCAGGCGTCTTCGAGTAATCGGTGAACATACATAAAAAAAGATTCCGACGAATTGAGAACTTCCTCGTTTTTGGAAGTCGGTTAAAAAAAGTAGCGTTGGCTAAAAAACTTTTGGAAAACTTCTTTGGCTGATATCTAATTTTAATTTAGATTTATTTTCAATTCACTATGCATATTTAGTATTGACGACATATAAAAAAGATTTACTATTTTGTTATTTTTGTTCTTTTAAATTAAAAAAATAATGTGGATTATACCACAGATCATATAATAGGTACTATACTAGTAATTATATTTATGTACCTAGATGATATTTTTGAAATATTAGTAACAAAAAAAAACATGAAAAAGCATATGTTGAATGTAACAAAGGTATTATAGTACCTAAGTAAGAGAAGGTAAATTTTCTCATAATGAAAATACTTTAGCGCCCTCTTCTTCTTATTTCTTCTAAAAAAAGAAAACAAACAAAAAATGATTATTTTATTAAAGGCAAATATATTGATAATATAATTTATCAAAACAAAAATAACCATAGAAGAAAAAATTAACAAATATTATAGAAAATTATCATAATCACTGTACATTATTCATATCATGCATTAAACATTCGTTCATAAACTGAGGATGTAATTTAATAGTCTTTTTGAAGTATAATATTTACATCGATGTTATATTTTTTATTCACATTAGCTTTGTATTATCGAGCTTAATACTTGTATTTTTTATATATACCTAAAAAGTTATTTGTTACACAGTTGAGACTTAAATTGCATTGAAATACTCAATGTTTTTCTCTTATTAAAAACATTAATTAGTAACAAGTAAAGCTTGGCAAGTTTTCGTAACTAAAGTTTCTAGATCTAACCAAATTTCATTTCCAGGCTTGTTAAGTGTATCAGGATATATCAAGGTATGTATGTCTAAACTGCAGGAGAAATAGATTTTCTACAAGTAACAACACCTAGTGTGGTAAATGGTTAGTTTGAATATTATGATGATCGATTTAAAAAAATGGAAAAGTTTCGTGTTTTTTTAATGTGTTTTAACCCCCGACGCAAAAAGAGGGGTTCGATGCGGTTTTTTTTCATTTAAAAGCCAGTTTCCTTGCGGTAGTTCTTAGCTACGTTTGCTTAATGTCAGTCCAGCAGTGTAAGAGTATCAGCTCTTTTCCAAAATGATATATGGCATTTTGGAGTATGATTACTCGAAGCGAGGGTGAGTTGCTAGTAAAATATATAATATTTTTTTATAGCAGAAATCATCCCTTACAGGGGTGAATGTGGGGATGAAAATTTGTATAGGTAATCAAGCTAGGGATGAACCCGAGCGAAGCGAATGTGAGTCGCTAGTGTTTAAATGTATTTGTAGTTTAAATATGTGTATAAGTTATTGTTTATTATTAAAAACCTTAAACTTAAGAATTATATGTATTAATATAGACGGAGTCCGCCAAAAATGTCAAGTCAATAATATATAGCGTGATTTTGCTGTTTATGCTACTATTACCAGTGTAGTCAGAGCTTGTTAACTTTCTTCAGGAATTACGTTTTCACGCCGCCGCTGAACCAATTTTGATGAATTTTGATATATAGATGGATGGAACCTTGGAAAAGAACATAGGCTACTTTTTGTAATTAATGAAACTTGAAGGGGGTGAAATAAGGCTTGAATGTTTATATTGAGATCAAAGCATTTCTCAAGTTCACAGCACAAGTTTTCAGAACATAAAAATACGTTATATCCTATAGTTTTGGTAAGAAAGAAAGAATGTTTCGGTGTTTTTGACCAATCTAGATAAAATGTTTATTATATTTATTACCTTTTTTATTTTTGTGGTTAAAACATTTTTTAAAATTAATTTTTATAAAACGAATTGCAAATATTATTTTTATGGGAAAAATTTATCAACACCCTGTTAACTACTACTCACAGTAAATCTTTAGATCTATATACATTACACACTGACATTTTTGTTTGGTTCTGTGACACTCCGTCTACATATTATTCCTCAGTCTGAGTTAAAAAATTAGATTAATAGTTTAAGCTACGCAAAACAAACAAAACTCAAATTGAATATTTGTTGCTTTTATATTAATCGTTGCCTCTGGTCGTTTGTACCTGTCTGACGCTTCCTAATAGATGGATGCGGTCTGCAGAGAATGGAGGAGGTAGTCGGCATATAGTTTTTTCAAATAATATACTCCGTACTACGAGTATTCCAATAGCCAACGAACTCCACATACTATAAAAATAAAAGTAAATTTGTGCTTGTTCCGATCTCAGCGGATTATTTAGAAAGTTTTTCACTCTAACTTATAATTTTTTTCCAAAATTAATCTACTGGTCAGATCATATTTGTGATAATAAGAAAAAAACGTCTTTTCTATCACTATGAGAGTAAGATACTATGTTACAAAATACTTGTATATCTCCAATAAGTGTTTATTATGAACAGTAAATGATTTATTTCTAAGTAATTTTAGGCCGTGATTATAAAATATAAATAATAATTGCGTGTTTTAATATAATTTTTAAGTTAAGTTTGCAACAATTAATATGTAGTTTCCTGCGATTTTTTGTTCAAGCTTCAATATCTACGCACTTCCCCTATGGAACATTTGTTTACATTCAGTGAGCATTGTATAAAAATATTTTCAGCATCCTTTTTGTATTGTAATTTTTTATAATAGCACGAACTTCCTGAGATTAATTGTTATTCGGAAGTCTACTTATATTAAATTTTATACGTTTTCATGTATAACACTAACGAATTTATCAATTCTTATATGCGATAAAATTATATACGTATATAAACAAAAAATGACTTTATTTTATTCTGTTCGTACTTACTTCATTTTACTACTTACTTTTTTATAATTTTACGTTTTAGTATTTTATATCTTAAAATTAACAATTTTTTGCAGCAAATAAATAAATCATTCAATATTTAAAATATTTTTAATGATCAATAGCACCACATATTAAATGACAATACAAAAAAAATATGAAAACACTAAGTGCCAAGACCTACAAGTATCTTTTACTCTTTGTCTTAGTATCTATTTATGATAAAATGCTTCCCCAAAAAAAACAAGGTAAGCTTCAATTTAATTAAATTTTTCTTGTTTATTAACAGCTAGCAGCACACACTAGTACAGTTTACTTTGCCAATGTCACGTTGAATGGAAAAGTCGAGAGAGATTGGTCGGTAAAAATAAACTTTACTCCTTCTCATGTATTGTCAGTTAAAGTCTGTCTAGATCACGTAGATAATGTATTTAGACAGCAGTTAATAAATATCCGAACTATAGAGCCATATAATTTTGTATAACATTCATTTAATGATGATTCAACAATAGATTAGATTTTCTCGATTTTTCAACCGACTTCAAAAAGGAGGAGGTTCTCAATTCGACTGTATTTTTTTTGTTTTTTTTTTTTATCTATTTTAATTAAATTTTATTTTATTTAATTTAAATCCTCGACTCGTCCAATCTATCTTAAATTTTTATAAACAGAATGTGTATAGAGGTATATGAAACGCTACTTCATCTTCTGGGACAGTGTGGAACTCTTATACACAAGCCCAATATTTATCTTGGGACACCATTTCTAGATCCAGATGAAATGATGGAGTGTATCCCTAAGCTTAACCTGCGGTTTATTATTACAGCGGCAGGGTTTAGTGGGTTACTCTATAACCTATAGTTAAAATGCAGCGACAACAATAGACCCATCTATAGCCCGCAACTAAGAAATAAAAAAAATATAGAAGACAGTCATGAAGACTGCAGACAGAAGTGAAAACTTAAAACTATAAACAAAAAGTTGTTATTTTTGGATATTCAATTTAATTGTTTGATCTTCATAATACTTTCTTAGATTTACGCGAATGTTTGACATTATTAAATAAAACTATCTTTTCGGATTATTTCGCGGATTTATTTTGATTTTTGGTTCCCGACGTTTCGAATGCTTTACAGCATCCATGGTCACGGGAGAGACTGAGGTGTTACATGTCTTAAAGATATAGTTGTTACAGACAGCCTACCCACAATTAACAAAATGAAAATTGCACCAATTACATTACAATATTTTTAACTTTAAACATTTTTTATAATTTTAATTATAATTGAATATGGAAAATTATTTATTTAATTTTTGCTATTATTTTTATAATTACTACAATTTTAAAAATATTAATTAGTAATCTATATTTAGTGTTGCCATTATTATATTTATAACCATAAATAAAAATATAAAAATATAGTATTAATTATTAAAGCCATATAATTGTTCTATGTGTAATTTAAAAAGTTAAAATTAATTACGGATAATCATTTTAATTTAGTTTGCTATTATTTAAAAACAACTTACTAAGCAACACTATTAAAATATACTTTTACAAATGAAAAATATTAATCTGATAAGCTGTCATTTTGATCTACACAGTATGAACTTACTACATCTGCCTGTCTGTTATGTTTATATTTATTATTTGATTTTATTATATTAATAACAGGATCCCATGACGATGGTAGTACCCAGCCATCTTCCCTATTGAAATTTGGATGTTTTTTAATTTCTATGGCTTCTCGAATCATTCTAGGGCGATATCGGTTTTCTTTCGCCAGGATTTGAGGTCTATCGAAACGAATATAATGGCTTGGGCGGTCCTGGCTATGTTTGCAGACCATGTGACCATGGATGCTGTAAAGCATTCGAAACGTCGGGAACCAAAAATCAAAATAAATCCGCGAAATAATCCGAAAAGATAGTTTTATTTAATAATGTTTGATCTTCAATTAAAATTTGTAAATTAAATCTGTTTACATTTATCTGGTTTTGACATCTATCGGCACTCTGTGTGTTAGCTTTAACACGTCACGTGACCATGTCGATGACGACTTACATGAATTTACTCACCATTAAACCTGCCTATAGAAGTTTTCACTTCAAAAAAAGCTATATGTAACGTAATTGACTTCTATGCAAGTTACAAATAAAACTATATTAATAATACTACATCAGCACGTATATTAAAGAAATATTTAATAAGAGAATATTTGGTAGCATGATCTTTTTAGATATTAATTTAAATGGTATAAAAGTTTAATAACTATCCAGCAGCCGTGGTCGCTGCAGGCGTTGAACCGGCGGCGGTTGTAGGGGCGGATGTAGTGGGACCATTGCCAGGGTTGTTTCCAAGACCGTTTGGTACAGCATTCAAATCGAAAGTCCATAAACCATTGTTGTTGACCATGCTGAGATTCATGCCGTTGGATGGAGCTGAAAAATATTTAATTTTAATTAGTCAATTGACAATAGACTTCAACATATTTAATTTCTTTAGTAGATGTAATTAGATCAGATTTTTTAAATGCTTGAAGCTACTCAAAAGCTTGAAGCTCTTATTAAGTGTAAGTAAGCTCGTCTGCTGAAATACAAAAAAAGTAATACAACTAAAAGAATGTTTAGCGTTAACTCAAAAAATAGTAGTAAATAAAAGTACAATAGATAATTTTGATTAACGTGTGGATTTTTTTTTTCTAGCGCGACATAATAATATATTATAATGTACATACATTAATACCTATCGGTAGCACCACGCGTCTTGTACTACTATTTTATCTCTATATAGTCTCTAGAAGGTATATATTTCAGTGTTTTATAAAATATTGTCATATATAATTTTATTATTAATGGGAAATTTAAAACATTTTTTTAGATTTTTAAATTATGGTGCTGAATAATAAATAATAATATTTGGGTTTCACACTATTAACGAAAGGAACTAAGGATAATATCAATATGGTATCTGTTTTCGTTTCCAAAAGTCTTACTTCAGTGTCGTTGCTATTGATTATATTAGCGACTCAACCTCGCACCGCTCGGGTTTGCCCCTTGTTACGTTTTAACGCTTAGTGTAAATTCCTTAGAGATGAGATATTTTCCCGCAGTAAAAAGTATTCTATATGTTGTTGCAGTGGTAGCCCAGTGGTAAAGCGCTCGTTTGGGAAACCGAGTGAAGCGGGTTCAAATCCCGGTTCTCAATATTTTCATGTGCGAATCATTTCTAACATGATTACCACTTGCCTTACGTTGAAGGAAAAACATCGCGAGGAAACCTGCATGTCTGAGAGAACCTAGCAAGTTTTCGAAAGATATGTAAAGTCCGCCAACCCGCACTTGGCCAGCGTGATGGGCTATGGCCTGATCCCCCTCGTACTGAAGGGAGGCCCGTTCCCAGCAGTGCGACGTTAAAAAAAAGGGCTAAATACATGTTGACCCGCTATACTAAATACAGTCTACAAATTACCAGCTATACTAAATACAACCAAAATCTGTCCAGTAGTTTTCTCGTGATGCCTTCCAAGACAGATAGACCGACAAAAATTCTAAAAGCTATAGATTCGGCCTCTGTATCGATAATAATGACTATTTCAATAAGATTATCCAAAAAATATTTCATGTACAGTTTCGACTCAGTTAAAATTTTATCACATGTATAGATTAAAGCTTCTGCTTAATATTTTCAATAAAAAAAAAATAGAAATTTCTGCTAGACATTGTTAAAGAAAAAAAAACTCAAATGCAATCTCCATTAATATGGCAGATACACAATAGGCATCCATTATTTTTCTTAAGCCTAAGAAAACAATAGAATGAAAGATGAAACGTGTATTCACTTTCATTGACTATTGTCTGTCTTAGTATTCTAATTTGATATTTTTTTCCGATTGATAACTAAAAGGCCTAAGAAAAATTGACTTATCTTAATATTTATTTTATATTATTTACTGGCATAATAATATGATCTGTGGTTGAACAAAATACTGTTAATAAAAAAATATGTAGACCTTTAATGTTATTTCTAACACGTAGAATAATTAAGCAGACGAATGGCATCCGGCACGAATTCTCTTGACAACGGCGAAAACGAGAAGATGAAAATATGATCTCATAATGTCGCACATGTATGTTTTATGTAAAATACCAATACCTTAATTCGCAAGTCGTCTAACTCCGTCTCAGTTAAGTTTTTGAAAGCTTACAAAAATATCAATATTTTCATATTTAATAATAATTACGAATTCGGTAAAAAATATTTGAATTCCTTATAATGATATTTTTGAAAAATGCAAATTTTCTAAATAATTTAATTTTTTCCGTTCAAGCCCAATTTCGAAATTTGCTGATCTAACCGACAAAACAACTTTCAATTATCCTGGTACACTTTTTGGATAATTATAGTCTCAGTATCGCTCTAAGTTACCGGCTGGGTACACTGATGTGCATTGAGCACAGATGCCCATCTAGATAAGAAGTACCCGGAAGGAAGATTCCGGTTGCAGAAGAAGTTCCTTTAGACTTTTCCGTCGTGATTCTCTCAATGAACCCACAAAATGGCTTTCGCTCTCGCTATCATTAATGTTCCAGTTCTTATTAAGCCTTCTGGAAAAATTTGATATGATGGCAAGAGCCTTAATGTTTTGTCGCTGGTTCTTTGGGAAAGAGGACAAATCCTAATTTGGGATGATACATGCTTTGATACGTTAGCATAGCATGTCAGGGATATGGCGTCTAACGCAAGTTGCTTAAATATTCCTCCCTTAATCAAAATGCCTTTATATTATTTACTGTAGAAACCCTTGGCCCTTGTAGTTGAAGTGTTAAGCATTCCTCAAAAAACATAGCACCTTGTCTTATCGCCTCTAAAGTTGACAAAAGAGCTGGCTCGTTTTTCATTCAAAGAATCAGCATTGTCATTTAGCGGGAGAATGCGGCTATCATTCTTGCCACAATTCCACGCGGACATGATTTGTACAGTATTAATTAGGTGTACTTTTATTTTTTAAATATAATTAAGTTTTTTTATAATTTCAATGTATTTTCTTTATCATAAAATAAATTAAAAAAACAAAGTGTCATGCCTCGTGAATTTGTAATATTATTAAAACAATTACAATGTTCTCGTGTTCAACACCAAACATGGCAGTATCTTTCCCGCCAATCATATGCAAAATACTATGTAGAAAGAGAAGAATAGAAGAGAAAGATATATACTTTAAGGACTTGCTCTTTTTACTTAACACTGGAAGATAAATATCAACAAATAATAATAATATATCAACAACGTATAAGACGCGCCAAAATGAATCAAAGGAAGCAGCTCAAAAATTTGTTATTAAAGAGTTCCACAATCCATTTTCTGGCTTTATCACCAGATCGCTAGATGGTTCAATTTGTATTTTCACCGATGTATTAAATACTTACAAAGAAGGGACAGACAGTAAAAAGTTACGAGTAAATCTTCCTCTATTAGATTAGAATAGTATGTTAATAACTAATTAACGTACTAAAAAGCGTATTTAAAAAAACTTACGTAAGATCATGTTAATAGCAGCCGGTAAATTTCCTTGGTTCCCTCTGGCATTAGGCCGTCTCGTAGTAGGAGCACATGAACACCAATCACCAAAGCCGAAGTAGTCGTCTTCGGTGCTGGCGCTGGTCGTAGTAGACGTGGACGTGACGTCATCGTCGTCGCAGAAGAGATCGCAGAATAATTCAGTAAAGAATGGCTGGAATTGTTCTTTACTTTGTATTAATCAATATATTTTTTTAATAAATTATTATTTTCCTTTATGATGATCAGTATGTGGCAATTTTTTGGCATTAATATACAAAATGCTAGTATCTAACTATTTTTAGTAAGTTTCTGTATAGAGCTCGTGCTTAAAATCTAAGAATGTGGCGGACAGTGTTAAATATAGTATAATATAAATTACAAATATGATTCAAAAGATTTACGAACAAACTTAAAATTTTATAATTATTGTTGATTTTTTTTCTACAATTTTCACTTGAAATTATATTGAATTGAAAATTCAGCGTTTGAGCTTAACATTGTAACTTACTGATTTTTTGATCTCATCAAAGTTTTTTAACTTTTTTTTAATTTTATTAAACCTTTTTAGGTAGAATTTAATACTCTACATCTCTGATCACTTTCAGAACACTTAAAATTAGCTTACAATAAGAATTAATGCTTTTTAGATTTCGATTTCACTATATACTACTACTACGGACTACAAATAAAATTATTATTTTTGCGACTTTGTTTTATTTTTAAATAATTGAAAGAAAAATCTTATTCTGTCAATTTAAGACAAAACAAAATTTTAAATTATATTTAGTAATGTTTTTAAACATTACGAGAAATTCTTATTGAAATAATTCATTCAAAAATTCAAATTTAAAAAATAGCTAAGATACTGAATTCTTAGTAACAACATTTCTCGCAATGATGAATAATTTAAATATTTTTGTTTAAGGACAAAAATGTAGACTTTTAATTACTGGCTTACAAGCCAGGTCATATTTCTTCACAAAAACTTCAATACTTAGGTATATAAAGTTGAAGAAGATTTTGAAGTAATTTCAAAAAATTTAACAAACCTTCGACACGATTAATTGAAACTGCACTAACATCACAAGAAAGAACACGCTCGCGCCTAACGAACCCATTTTCGTAGTATTTTTGTAAAAAACACTGCAACGGTTCCTTTCCTAGTTATAACTATGCTTTGCGCAAGATGCCTGAAATATTAATAGTTGCTTAGACCATAGAGTAAACAAATGTTATATTGAAACAATGATCATGAATAATTTTGTTACGGTCATTTTAGATCTGTTATGTTATTGGGCGTCATTTTTCTCTTAAATATGAGTAACTTTGCCTTAGCCTTGTCATGTTAGTGATAGCAAAACAATAATATACAGATTTGCTATGGTTATGCATTAGGAAAATCTAAGTATGGGTACTTAAAATATACCCATAATGCTATAGTTATACCTCTATCCATTAATTAGTAAGGAACTGAAATAAATATCATGAATGATAAGTTAAGTTAGAAGTTTGTATACGAAACCAATATTAATATTAAATTAATTAATCAAACTTGTTCCGGTCTGATTAAGACTGTAATAGTCACACAATACGTAACAGACATAAAAACATACGTTGCTTATATAGAAGTATAACAGAATTAACGTAAATTAATTTAACACATATAACTGGTTCTTCAAATATAATCTATGTGTGCTGACAATACTAGCCACTTTGGTTTGCTAAGATCCTTTTCTCGGTAGCTTTTTCTAATAGACTAACCTTAATTTTTAAATAAGAAGAAGCTTTAAATCACATCTTCAACCAATAAGTTCTAAAGATATCGTACCAACCAACAAATAAATTTTTGCATTTATAATACTAAATAATTAAACACTTCATAATCTCAGGTCAAATTAGGCCAGATGATTTTTCAGACACTTATCTACTGAAATAGAACAAATCCATACTACTGTAGCCGTTAAATACCCATAAATATCTTTCATTGATTCAAAGAGTTTCAACATAAAACTTAGTAAAATATGTAAGTTGGATTCTCTACATTATTTTATTCTATGATATTTCCTTCAGCAACTTGTGAAAATTTTAATTCACTTACTACATATTTCACATGTGATGGTCGTTATAATTTTACTCGGATATTGTTGTTTTAGACACGGTCAAGTTTGAATGTCATTTGAAACGTGTGTACAGAGGTGCGTGCTTACTTATTGTGTTAGACAGACATACACCCTGCGCATACTAATTACAGCGTGGAACAATGTACATGCCCTATCAGTTCTGTGAATTTGTCAAGTGCATTTGGAATTGTAGAGGGTGATAACAATCGGTACCTAAACATATAATGTATTTATATGCTGTATAGATATATATAGACCAAAACAAGATCTTAGGTGAAGATAGAAATGCTAATCAGGTGATAGGTATTTCTAGTACTCAGCGGTCTAAATGTATAAAATTGGCGACACATTTGGCTCAATTTGTAGTGACCCTACTTGCTGTGCCAGTGGTCGCGGGTTCAAGTCCCGCTGGGGGCATTCATTTGTGTGATGAGCACGAATGTTTGTACTCCAGTCATGGGTGTTTATATTTATAATATTTATGTATTTAAAGTAATATATGTGTAGTGTATCAACTATCTGGTATCCATAATACAAGCCTCGTAGCTTACTATGGAACTAGATGGTGTTGTGTGTTAATGTCCCAACACATTTATTATTTATTTATATACCGATTAATGTTTATGATTTGATATAATATAAATAACACCTTACTCCATATTATGCTATAATTCTTTATATTATTTTTTTAAACGTTTTTCTTTATTTGTAGATAAGAAATAAAAGTCATCAGAGTTATAATTTAACTTATTCTTCTAGTTTATAATTTGTTTTCTATTATAAAGAGAAAAGATTTTTGTTTTTTTTTTTGTTTTTGTATTGTGTTGTGTGTGAGTTGCTGGTATTATATAAAGACTTTAATTTAAACACTTGAAAGAAAACTTTTAGAGATATGATAATTACAAAAGTGTTCTTATTTTGACGTCTCTATGTATATAAGTGTGTTACTTGTATATTTGAATATTAGGAATAATATGAACCCATTATTTAATTTCATATTACCTATTGAAATATTTTACCGAATGAAAAACAAATATTTAAAAGATCAGATATTTATTGGTATAATATATTAGGTATAAACAAGATCATTAATCACATTTTTCAATGCCCAAAGGCGACATTATAGCTGACGCCAGGTTTCTTTGGAATTTTGCTTCCGACTTCTACTAAAATTGGGGTGTAATCAGCTTTAGCGGGCTTATCCGAACATTCCTCGTGGGGGATTGGGAACACGTATTTTACATCGACGTCGTATCTGTAAAAAAACATCATGTTATTGTATATTCTGGTACTCTAATGAAAACTTTATAAGATATAAGTAATTGTAATTGAAAATTGTTAGGTATCTATTCTAAATGAAAACCCCCGTTGAGTTATTTTTTACATTTTAGTGCCTGGAAGTCGGTTTTTTTTAAGATTTTATTTTTATATTTTTAGTGTAGACGTAATAAGCAGGTAATTTGTAGGAAGAAAGTTTTTAATAACCTATTCGATGAAACAATTTGTTAAAAAATATATTTATTGTTGATTTTTTTTAAAACCGCTCGACCGATTTCGATAAAATTTGTATGGGACGACCTGGAAGGTGTACCCTTTGAAACAAAAAAAATATTTCCAAATTGCTTCAGGTGTCTTCGAGTAATCGGTGAACATACATAAAAAAAGAAAAAAAGATTCCGACGAATTGAGAACCTCCTCCTTTTTGGAGTCGGTTAAAAAACGTATTACACGTTATAAATAATATTATCTTTTCGGATTTTATCATGGTATTAATTTAATTTTTACTCCGTTTTAGACCAATCATGGCTACGGAAGTCTCTTCTAGCACATAGTTTTATTGAAAAGCTTAACCTCATTTGGTTCTATTTCAATTGTTTGAAGAAGACAGCTCATCAAAAGACAGTAAATAAAGCTGGGCAAATAGAATGTTTCTGGTTATACAATTTGGCATTCAGCCACAACACATTGTAACTCGGGCCAAGCATGAAGTCTACACACAAATGTACCTATGCAGCAAGGTACTATTGCCATTTAACGTGCTTTTACGCATCGGTAATTTCTATTTGAGCTATTTGATTGATTCTAACTAGAAGGAATATATTATACTAGCATTGCCCGCGGCTCCGCCCGCGTTCAGATGACCAAAGATCAAATTCTTAGCTTTGTTGTTAGATGTTTAGCCCTAACAAAAATTATGTTATTGGTAGCAAGTTATGAAAACTTGTTTAATTTTATTTGATAAATTTTATACGAGTCATATATTATATAGTTATAACTATATTATAACTAGCTGTAATCATTTTCTTTATTATAATAATAATTGTTAAATTCTTTTATAATAATATAATTAGTGTCCGCCAAGTATTATTATTCGCCATTAAAAAAAATTTGGGGTAAAATATATGCATATGAATAGAATATATCTATTTATATAATAAAAACTAACTGTATCTATTTTTTTTGTGATAACACTAAAACAAAAATAGAAAAAGAAAATCGTTAGACAAACAGAGAAAAAAAGTGAACTGGTTTGTCTTTGCCTATTTATATTATTATCATAAAATATAGATATAGGTAGAAGGCAGTGGTAGCCCAGCGGTAACCTCTTACTTGAAAAATCAAGTAAAGCGGGTTAAAATCCCAGGTCTTGCACCTCTGATATTTTCATGTGCGAATCATTTCCAACATGATCACCACTTGCCTTACGGTGAAGGAAAACATCATGAGGAAACCTGCATGTCTGAGAGAGCTTAGTAAGTTTTGTCCGCCAACCCGCACTTGCCCAGCGTGCTGGACTATGGCCTGATCCCCCTCGTATTGAAGGCCCGTGCCCAGCAGTGGGACGTTAAAAAGGACTGAATACAGATTAGGTTCAGATACTTAGATATAGAATTCTATTATATAATTATATTATGTAACTTACCTAGGTAGTTTATCTCTTAAATATGCCATAACATTCTTAGGCAATGTAGCCTTTCTTGAAAGTATGAATGCACTAAGATACCTAGCGCCTTCTCTCTGTTCGGCACAATGTAAAAGTAGCATCCAGGTTTTATATTCTGTGTCTAGTACATATGTATTGTATATGCCATCGTCTGTAAAGAAATATTATATTAGTACCAGATATTATGTACTTTTCGCCTGAGTCCTCTCCGTAAGTAAAAATTATTGTAAAAGCGTTCTGGGACTTTGTGGGTATAAATGACATACAAACAAATAATTTGGCTTGGTTCGTGGAAATACCTAATGGAGTGGAGTACTTATACTAATATATAAAAAATGTGTTTGTTTGTTTCTTTGTTTGTTTGAACGCGCTTATCTCTGGATCCTTGTTAGATTTGAAAAATTCTTTTTGCCTTTTATAGTCTATTCATACAGGAAGAATACTGGTTATGTTACATTACGCACGGAAACAGACCAACTTTACAAAATTAAACTATGTGAGTGGCAATAACTGAACGGATTTAGATGATCTGAAGAAACACATAGACTACACCAACCATAGTACCTTATTATCTTAGTAATAAAATTTTCCAAAAACCAGCACTAGCTGTAAATAATATTTTAAATACAAAAGCTACGCAAGGACGTACCTAAGTAGATAGAGTATACTATAGTACTACATATACGTAGTTCTAAATAATGTGTAAACTTGACCCTATTTACTTAATTATTTAACATTTAATCCATATGTATGTACGTATAATAACCATTCGAAGTATTTGTATGATTTAAAACAAAGTTTTACTCGTACTCCTTTTATGGGCTTATCAGATTAAGGCAATCTTTTGTTCATAAATATACGCAATATTTAGTGTTTACATATAAATGTATCCTGTTCGATCATTGAAGTATTAATGCATGTAAATCAATACCGATTACAATCGGATTGTGAAATCGAATCTACAGTAATCTGAAACTTATGAAGCAACATATATCATATCCTCTTTGCTTCATATTGGGTAATATTTGATATAACGGCACACCCACATTACTTTGTGTTCAATCAGTTTCGTTCGGTTTCTTTTGCAGTTGTAAGTAAAATAAAAAATATATTATAGAAAAACTGCATCGGTGGTCAGATCTGGAGGTACTGGGTTCGAGTCGAGGTTCGAGTCCGGGTCAAGTTCAGTCATTGAGTATTTCTGTCAAGAAATTCCCAGTAGCAGCTCGGGGTTGGGAAGTTGGCGATGTTTCACATCGGTCGTCGTGTCGAAGTATAGTCCCATCGGACTTTGAGAGTAAAAGGAATAGAGATTGCATTGGGTCTGCGCGTACACTTGTGCACTATAATATCTCCTGCGCATTTATAATAGCTATTTTATATTATAGATAGTTTAAGTGAGATTGGGCGCCATGGTCGAAATTTGTCTGGGGGAAATTATTATTATTACATGAAAATTGATCCGCATTTGACCAGCGTGGGGGACTATGGTCAGATCCCCTCGTACTGAAGTGAGGCCCGTGCTCAGCTGTGGAATGTTAATGATGGGAATTGATAGAAATTTATTTTTTTAATTTAACAGCTTTCTTTAGTATCTTTTTATTTATAAATTTAAAAAAAAGCTAAAAGGAGTAAATATTTTTGTAGTAAAAATTTAAATGTAATTTTATTTAATCTACAAAGTATCTTCATAGTATAATACCTCATAACTTTAATAAGCTGGTCAAGAGCAATGGTAGTAGTAAGAATAAATAAATGTTAGAATTCATTATCGATTCACGCAATGCAGTTAGCACAATTGTTTTTTAACAATACTAATAATTATTTTTTTAGATTCTAAAACAAAACGTAAGCAGCGTTTATCGCATGTTTAAAGTTATCGCAAACGAAACCGTTCTAAGAAAATTCGAGCTTAACAATCAGTGATTAGTTGATTTTAATTAAATCTCGTCTTTATATACAAGATATATTTTCACTTGAAATTATATTAAAATAAATACAAAGTGTATAAACTTCTTGATTTATGAATATATAGTCAAAAATATTTTATATAATATCGCAGAGTAATATCGCACAATATCAGATCGTGTCATCATACGAGTACAGTTATTAGTTCTTTAATCATGTTACTATATTAAAAATTTATTATTATCAGGAATTAAAACTATAGGTGTTATATGAGGGACTCACAAGTCATTTCCGAATGTGTCCAGTGTGCAGGTTCATTCAAATCAATTTTCCAAGTGATGTTGCCCAATAGGTTTTCCCCGAGAGGGTCATCCGCAAAACGGTAAGTGAAATTCATGGTAACTCCTGGCGTCCATTCAATAGAGCCATCTGGAATACAATATTAGAGACCTTAGAATCTTATGAGTAGTCTTATTATTACATAAGAATAAAGTGATTTATATGTCTTTTTTCAACTTTTTACTAATACTCGTGGGTAGGTACCTAACTACTGAGATTTTAAAAGCTATAAACATAACAAAATGACAAAGAAATTTTATCTGTTAAAAATTAATAAGCAAATTTAGTAATGCAGGCTATGAATGAACATGTAAAATTTTTGTTTCATAATTTTAAACTAATTTACTCGAATGTGTATATTTTACTTACCTTCAGCTTGTACATGATCGTCTTCAGTGAAGACGGCTTTCATACAACTGTAGGAGAGCGCTTCTTCAGCACTCGCATAGTACTCTACTACATACCAGTCTCCCAGCATCTGAAATTATTTGAATTTAAATATTTTAGTACAATAACATCACTTCAATAATAAAATAAGGAACGCCTGTTATAATTTAATAGCTAAAGTACAAATCAATTACATTGCTGCATATTTTTATATAAATGGCAATTATTACAGTTAAACATATGACCTAATAGTGAGCAATAAATATAGACAATACAATTATTTTCTTTTTATACTAAACCGGATATTAGGTATACCTATAATATATATATAACCTTATAGATTTTTACATTACAATTAAAATTACTTAACCAAAACGTCTTAATACTGCTATATTTTTTGTATACGAACAGTAAATATCTGTAACAACTATATCTTTAAGACATGTAACACCTCAGTCTCTCCCGTGACCATGGATGCTGTAAAGCATTCGAAACGTCGGGAACCAAAAATCAAAATAAATCCGCGAAATAATCCGAAAAGATAGTTTTATTTAATAATGTCAAACATTCGTGTAAATCTAAGAAAGTATTAACAGTAAAATATAAATTTCTTTATATTTGAAACATGAAACGTACTTTTTATTCAGACTGAATCATAAAAGACCCTTCACATATGCAATTACATACTCACAAAGCTCTAGACATGCAGGTCAACACTCAAAGCTTCTGGTACTTACATACATATGTAGAGCTTTTAATGCATATTCAACATTATAATAGTAAACATTTGTCCGAAGTGAGAGTGGACAGTACAATACAATAACAACAGAAGCTTGAGACTTGATCTCATTTGAATACAATTTGTAACAATACCAAACATCACTCAGCTGCCCTAAGCTGACATTACAACGTAACTACTGCATACATTATCTAGTTAGATATTGAAAGCATAATATAATATCTACACATATCATTCGATAATAGCTCTTATAGAACGTGTCTTAAGAGCAATTGTTAGATATTGTGAGGAAGACACATTGTAAAATTCATTTCACTTTCTAATAAAAGCAATATATCACTTCAGTATGGTTGCGTATATTTTTATGATTCAATAATTCTATTCAGATCTATCCTATTATATATAAATTGAATATAATAAATTAATATTTAATATTATTCAATTATGTCTGCTTGTGTATAAAATAACTGATATATCACAAAAGTAAAAGGAATGTGAAGACTTAGGCGAAATGTCATTCTTTAATAGTTGAAGAATAGAAATTTTATCCTAAATAAATAAAAATAAATCGCTAAATGTGTTGCTTAGTGCAAAACTCGAGAACAACTAGTAGAGGGCTAATTCGGCATTTTTTAATTCAAATATACGCTAAAGTCCGAGGAAGTTTCTTATGAAAAGAAAAATTGAAAAAAAATGCCCGGAAAAAAGTAAAAACAGCAATTTTATAATCGGGCCTTCTACAAACTTGATTGGACAGGACGAGGTCTGTAGGGTCAGCTAGTTTAAAAATATATGGAAATGACATAATATAATGATTCTATAATATAACAATTAAAGATATCCTAAATAATGTAAGTTTCCAATATTCTCTCAATTAATATATCACCCATTATAAGAAAAACCAGGACGGTTAATAAAACTTTTTTGACCGATTTTATAACGGTGTGTGGTTTAGAGTGGTCTTGAAAGTATTTTCTTCTCCTATCATAAAAATTTGTCGATGCGCTATATCTTTTTTAATATTTTATCACAATTAATGATTGCATCGTTTCGAAGATTTGAAGATTATATTCTCCGCTAATGACGAAAATAAAAATAATCAAATATGTACTTTAAAATTAATAAGAATTTCACACGGATCAACTAGTTGTTATGATTAAAAATTAGAGAACATTAGAATAAAACTAAAATTGAATTCTTAGACATAAGATATCGACTCCTTACCTTATTTTTGACTAAGTATAATTCTCAAGTACATTCTCTTAAGGAAAAAGTGTCGCTAGAAAATTTACTTAATATTTGCGAACATATTTCAACATAAATTATCTTTAGTGTTTATATAAACATGTCATTAAATATAAATTAGTTGGACCAGTCTATGTTAATGTAAGGCGTACCGTTACGATGCTTAATAGTAGCGGTGTGGGTTCCTTTCGTAAGGATCTATATAATATTGTCATATTAATTAATAATAGTAATGCGAAAGTTAGTTTGTCTGTGTTATTTTTCTCAGCTAAATGATTAGATGTTGTATGAAGTACTTTAGAATCCTGAGAATCGGTGTTTATCCTTTCAACCAAAAGACAAAGAAGACAAAGAAAATAAAATCGATGAGATAATTGAATGAAAAATGTTTACTATTTACATATCATTATACAAATATTATATTACGGTTAGAATTATTTCGCCCCCGATGTGTGCCACGCGCATACCAGCCGGGCGCGAAGCTTAGAGACACAAAGGGAGGTGGCCCACTTCGGTGGGTGGTGTGCCATTCGGTTTGCTCCTGGTGGGAGCAACCCCTTGGTTGTGTGGTCTGCTTTGGCAGACAGCCGTCGCGTCGGGGCGTCGTAGTTGAATGCGTAACCGATCCTGCGACGCCCCATTAAGACGGGGAGGTTCTGTTGGGTTTTAGTGGGTAGTACTGGTTTTTCTAGCCAGTGTGTTTCTAGCCACATAATAACTTGTATGTATACAGGTGGTATGCATAAATGCATTTACCAACCTTAAAAAAACGATTAAAACTTAAAATAATTTAAAATTTGTGTAATATAACAAAAAATTGAAAAAATAAATATTCGTGAGCCTGTTACTTTCTTGTTATTGATTATATGAAAAAGTCAATGCCGAGCAGTGTATTATAATAGTGTAACGATAAATTCAAAAAATGTTTTGCAAAATAAATAAAAGCTAAAGAAAATTTATTAACCTGCTTATAATAAAATTTAAATTATAGAAACTATTTATTACGTAAATGGTGACTAGGATTATGAACTTTCAATATCTAAAATTAAATGGAACTGTTTTCAGAATATATATAATTTATTAACAATTTAGTAAAATTTATTAGAAATTTGTATGCTCTATATGAAATATGTTTTGAACAGTGTTTTAATATTTAAATTTTGTAAAATTCATAAATACCTCTCTAACTTAGCAAGTTTTCGAAAGACACGTGAAGTCCGCCAACCCATACTTGGCCCGCGTGGTGGACTATGGCCTGATCCCCCCATGTATTGAAGGGAGGCCCGTGCCCAGCAGTGGGACTTTAAAAAGGGCTGAATACAAATACCTCTTTAATAGTCTATGTTAGACTTAAAAAGTTACCCAAGCTTTACATAGAAAAATTGTAAAAAAATTAAATTGTACTGACTCTACATGTAAATTCTATCGCTCTGATTTAACATCGTATACGAACAAAATATTTTGAAACATGGTTTAGTTTTCCCTTGTTAGTGATTAATTTAAAAGTTTATTTATCTATTAGGAATCATGTTAGTGGTACCAATCAAGGACACTGATATCATCTTAAACTGCCTAAGATATATTTTATTAAATTTGAATCCATCGATCACTAAGATTTATTGTTATTGCTGTAAAATATTTAATGAAAAAGCCATCTAGCTAATCAAATGTTTAACTCAAAAAGTTGTTTTGGATTTTGATATTTTCAAGTATCTACTTTAAAACGAACACAGACTGACAAACTTCTTACAGACTAAATCGCTAAGTCTAGACGCTTGACAGAAAAGATAGCACTAAGGAAATATTTAAAAAAAACATTGAATCGAGCGGTTAAATAAATAAAAAGATTGTATGGATAAATGTAAATTGACAAAATTGAAAAAAATTGATTTTAATAAAATCATTTACTATTATCGTCTATACAACAACAGCAAATGCAACGAATCTTACAAAAACTATTATATCATACAAATACTATAAAGGGGAAAGTTTGTGAGGATGTATGGATGTCGGAATATGTCTGGATTTGGATGTTTTTTACTCTTTCACGCAAAACTATTGAATAGATTTTGCTAAAACTTTACAAATATATAGCTCACTGATCAGAATAAGGTACTTTTTACCCCGGAAAAATGTACGGTTACCGTGGGATAGATTTGTTTTTGTTTTTCTAGTGGCGAACCCGAGCGAAGAGTGTGTAAGCCGCTAGTTTTCTTATACTTTAGACTCTATACGTATTAAATAATAATTGGTATCAAAGGAAAAATATTAATTTATTATAATAATGATTGCTAATACATAAGTATTAAATCAATAATTCATAGATACAGTGATTTCCAACATCTTTCTAGATTATGGAAGAAGTCTATCAAGTTTCTAAATAATTAATTGCCTTTTAAAATTGAAATGAATATAAAAGTTCGCGCATTATAAAAGAGAAACGGCTTTTGGGGATTGTAATTATCCGATAAATATTATTAGATAGTTAGCAATGGTGTCTAGTGGTACCTTGTTCGCTTGGGAAACCGAGTGAAGCGGGTTCAAATCCCGGGTCACGCACCTCTGATATTTTCATGTGCGAATCATTCCCAACATGATTACCACTTGTCTTACTACCGTGAAGAAACATAGTGAGGAACCTGCATAACTGGGAGTACCTAGCAAGTTTTCGAAAGATATGTGAAGTCCGATATTATTATAATTAAAAGAACAATGTAGGGTTGGTACAAGAAATTTTGTTTACTATATTTTTGATTTTAGTAATCTATGTGTTACTCCAAGTCATAGTTATCAACCATCCTCCACATGTGCGTTCATCTTGTCATAGTGGGGTGGGGTGGGGGTGGGGTGGGGGTGGGGTGAGGGGTTTCATTAGCGTCCGGCAATCCAGCCAGGCGCAAAACCAAGACACATTGCTAAAAACAAGCCCACTTTGGTTGGTGGTGTCGGTATGTAGTCAGCTTCGTCAGACCTCCCGTCCCTCCCATCATTAAAAAAAAAGAAAGATTATAATCTATCTGTGTATTAAATATCATCCAAATCCGTTCAGCCGTTCCAGCCTCGTTCTCGTAAAAAACATACTAAATTGGAAAACTTAAGCATTTTAAATATTTTTATAGCATTGTATTCGTATACTATATTTTAATTGCAAAAAGAAATAGGGTGGCTGTTAGAAGTATGTACAAGTAGTTGTACTTATGTTCAACTACCTTTTTCGCGCGTGTTTCCCTCTAAGTACACACACTTTAAAATTGTTGAGTAAGATTGTTGACGATCCAACTATATAGTTTGTAATTTTGCTCCTAACTCGAATATCAGCTATCAATACCGCGAACCGCGAGTTGCTGTTTTGTAAGAACAAAAATGGTTTCATTACTGATTAATTTGAAATATTATGTTAAAGACTTTCTTTATTTTTTTTTTGGCAAATTAAATATGAGTTAATGCTGTGAAGTCAACGACGTCGAACTTTAAAAATCACGATTTTGTAGCATATAGTTTATTACCGTTTTCGTTTTTTTTTTAAATTAATTTATTTAGTAATAACCTTTGACTTAAAAAATATTCATATGATATTTCCTGTAACGATACTGACACTTTTTAATTTTTACAGAAAGTATTACATTTCTACTTTATAAAATATAATAATTATAATTGAGCGTGTACTGGTAGTTAATTACATACAACATGTAAAAAGTAACGCTATCTGTCATACTTCCGGCACCTACACACTCTGATTTCCATTGAATCGCTTACAAAAAGGTTTATACATTATTTATAACAAGCGACTTACCCACAATTTCGTGAGTTTTAATTTTTTTGCGCGGAACCCTGATTCTTTTTCCAAAATAAAAGTAGTTAAACTTACTCCTTATAACATCAGCTATCTGTCAGTGAAAGTTCCATTAGTATCGTTCCAGCCGTTTCGGAGATTAGCCGGAACAAACAAACATACAGATAGACACACAAACAATTGTTGTTTTCTTATAAGTACCGTATCTACATCATAGGTATTTACTAAAAAGCTGTTATTTTGACATTACAAACCGACACTTCAATTTTATTTATCTGTATAAATTAAATAAATGGTGTCACATTTTATAGGATATTATGACGATTTAGATATTTTTTTAATAAATGTTATTTATTAATTTATTATTCTATAGGAATAATCTTATTAATAAGAGCTACATATGAAGTTATATTACAATAGGTATCTTGATTCTTAACCGCTTAGACCAAATGAATAATATACAGGAATAAAATAAAAAAAATTGTTATTTTTTTCTAATATGGAGGATTTTTTGAAATTCAAACATTACAGGGAAAAAGGATAGAAATATAGTCATTTCTATAATTTTATAACACTTTAATATAGAAATTTTATTTTTTAGCCTAGTTTACCTACTTGAAACTTTTCATTATTTCTTATATACTTTCGAAAAATATTTTTTCGTATTTATCAAAATTCAATACATTTTTGTAGGTTAAATATCATGTTTAAAGTAACCAGACGGAGCCAAGACAGATCGCTAATATAACAATCGCTCTAGCTATAAAACCAACCAAACCATTTACAAATATTGTTTAAAATATATTCCTCTCAAGAAGACAACGGGCAAAAATGCTCAAGTGCGGAAAACGCCGTGCAGAAGAAGAAGACGTATAATACCTCTGAAGTACCTTTTGTATGGATATATCCATACTTTACTAATATTATAAATGTGAAAATGTGTTTGTTTGTGTGTTTGTCTTTCTTCCACGTTGAAACGGAGTGACGGATTGGCGTGATTTTTTTTGTGCAGATAGTTGGAGGGCTGGAGAGTGGCTTAGGCTACTTTTTACCACGGGAAGTTATCTAATTCACACGCGAAAACACGTTATAATATAACTCAAAAAAAATATTTATGATCAGAATTACTATAAAATTGGTATTAATGCTCTTCAATACAATTAAATAAATACGTATTTCAGCATTTTTCGAAATTCATCCCATTATTATTATTATTATTATTATTATAAGGGGGTTAAATAGGGGATGAAAGTTTGTATGAAACCTACCTTTTTAGTTTTTTTTTGTAGTTTTAGCGAGAGCGAACGTTTTGGGTTAAACGTCAAGAACATGGTGTAAAACATATTTTTGAAACATTATTTTAAGTTTTGTAATAATAATTCATACAGAAGAACAGAGATAGTATATATAATAGACGGGCATGATAAAAAATACACCTATTATAGGATTACAGGAAAACTAGTAAGTGACTCATATACGAAATGTGCCTTTTAAAACTTTTGTTCTTAATTTTAGCTATATTAATATAACAACTACTTGTCAACTTCACTAATAATATTAATGCGAATGTGTTTTTGTGTAGTATTAGAGCAAATTGACTTTATTGCATGGAGAATATTTCGAATGGCCCGAATGTTACTTTACAACTTATGTTCAGAAATAACGTTTGCATGGAATATTAGTTTTTATCATTTCATTTAATTTCAATTATTCTACTTAATAGATTTTTAAGCACCCTAATTCAAAAAAATATAAATCAGTGTGAGAGTCATATATTTTTTATATTAGGTATACCAATAAGGAAATGTGTCCTACCTGAGACAGATCAAAATGCGCGACAGCTCTTACTTCCGGACACTTCCTTTTATCCACAATTCTTCCGGTCACCAAAGAAACTACACAAATTACCAAAAAATAAATTATACCACGCATCTTTGACATAAATTTTTGATGCAACTCTTAGATAACCATGTATTTTTTATTTAGCAAAAAGTATTATGTCACAACTACGTATTATTCATGCGAGTGGTAATGTTGAACTAACAGAAGGGAATCCTTATCATTTTGTATGGGACATTTGTTAATGGTCACCAGGACGCGTTCGGCATTACATTATCAGGTGACTCATATTGTTTTGACTTTGATTGCTTTTGGAGTTGTATATTTAAAGAATTATTAATGATCGGCAATGAAATAAGTGAGGTTATCTAATCTATTTATATTCAAATTATCATAACTACATAATATGTACGTGTGAATTAACTCAAAATATTAACAAATAATGTTAACAATATAATTGTTATATTTAAAAAAAACTCTAAAATTGGTTGAAATATGAGTTTGAAAAGACAGACACTTTTAATCACAAGCTTAGTAGGTATATTCCACCCCAAGAATATAGAGTTACGTGAAGGACTTAGTCTGTATAATCATGGCTAAGATTCATATTTTATAATATCAAGAGAAAAATACTAAATAATAATATTTTTTAATAAATATAATAATATTTTTTAATAAATATATCCTATATAATTTAATCTTTCTAACTTTCAAGTGTCTGAAAGTGGAGCAAATAAATAAAAATATGTAAATGTTGTGCCTACATTTTTATAGCAATGCTGTGTGTATAAGTAATATAAAAGTATAGCAGTAATTTTTTGCTTTTTAAGTTTTTATCTGAGTTCCTAAATAGTATAAATAAAAAAACCTACTTCTAAAAAATTGTTTCTAATCTTAATATCTTGTTTGATTTTTTTAACGTACTGCAATTAAGAAATAGGTAAATGTTTTAAAACGTCTTATCATATAAATCAACATACAAGAACTACTTTCGGCTAAAGCTAGAGTTATAAACATATGTATATAGATAAGTAGCGATATATTCTACTTAAAGTAGTATGAATACTTAAAGCACTATGAATGCAAAGAGCTTTTTTGTGAAGTAAATTTATTACATCTTACTTATGTTATAAATGTGAAAGTTTAGATGTTTGGATGTTTAGATGGATGTTTGTTACTCAATCATGCCAGAACGGCTGAACGGATCTGGAAGAAATTTGGCACGGAGATAGATTATACGATGCAGCATAAAGTTAGGCAGCACTGGACTTAGCAAAAAAAAACACAAACTTCAGCGATCATGATGGCTTGGAACTGGATATATAAATGTTGTAAAAGCAAATAGAGTCATCTATAAATATATAGCACCAATTTTGTAACAGAGGGCGAAATTTTATCAATAAATCTAATACGACATATAAATGTATTGTATTGAAATTATTTTTCTATTTTCCTCATGAGATTTCGTGCAATAAAAGAGAATCGCTGCTACAATAGTGGAAATTAAGACCTATCATAAGTTAATAATTCATTGTTTGCTCAGATTGTTACTTATTTTACAAGTAATTAATGTTATCTGCCACTAATAATAATATACTTATATAACTTATCATCAAATCTTTAAAATTTCGATCACTATTTTTGAACTGATTTAAAATAATTGCTAAAATAAACTGTTTGATTATAGATAACTGCAATGAACTACAATGATTAATTTGTTGGTAAACTTTTAAAATAAATAAGTATCCTAACGTATTGGGAACTTTGACATGAATATCCTACAAAGTGTCCTAAAAACACTTGAGGTGTCAAACTCTAACACTAGCCTTCTTAAAAGAAATAAAGAAATCTAACGTGAAGCTATATACACACACTAGATTTTCCCTTCAACTTTACTTGCATAACACCTATATCTAACATGGACAAAAAGTAGTCCAAGTGCTAATCCAGGATTATATGTTATCTATCTACAATCTACATATATTTCAAATCTCATTTTAGTTCATTAAGCCGATACAACTTGAAGAAGTAACCAATAAACTCTCTCACAATCTTTCGCATTTATAATAATAGTGTAATATCCGTTAAAATCATGACTATAACGAGAATTATTAGTACGATCAAAATCATATACGATAATTGAGATGTTGATGATTATTTAACGGAAGATTTTAGAAAACGGTTAAAAGATGCAGTGTAGTCGTTTCATATAGTTGGGTCTAGCATAAATAAGAGTTATATTATAAATTTTACATCGTGTTGAATTTATATAGTCAAGTTCCACACGTGTGGCAACAGGTTCCGATGTTAGTATTAGCAAAATTCGTGTCATTGCGACTAGTTTTTTGACCCACTTAGAATGTGGGTAAAAATGTTGGATTCGTTTGGCTTTTATATATTTGCTTTGAGAATGTTATAGATATTTATTTTAGTCTACCTAATGCCGTTGTTTCTAAGCGCAGATTTCACCTAGGAACATAGCTTTGTAAAATGTTACAGATTAAAAACGAATGCTCTATTTTATAGGATAAATTGCACTATAAAAATCATTTACACATTTAATATAATAATTAATTCATATCAGTTTCTTTTAAGCGATATTACCTATTACAACTATAGTTAGAATAACTTTACTTGTTTATTAAAATAGTTAAACCTAGGCAGTTACTGTCTGAAAGAGAGAAAATTATTTAAAGTAAATGTTATTTAAAATGAGATTTGTATATCGTCTATCTATACATATAATAAAATTGTAACTAATCCGAAATATTTTTTGGAAAAACTTATTGAAATAGACATTTTTATCGGCCGAATCTATACTTTTTGGAATTTTTGTCTGTCTGTCTATTACCGCATCACGGAAAAGCCACTGGATGATTAAATTTGGTATGATAGTAGCTGGTTATCCGGGTCAACATATAGGATACTGTTTACCGCGGGAAAATGTCTCTTTTCTGAGAAAAAATACAAAAATTGCAATGTATACTCTTACTGATATGTAAAACTTAAGAATTTGGTTTTTGGTCATCTGAACGCGGGCGGAGCCGCGGCCAATGCTAGTATTTATAATATATAGATGCTTCACTTGACTGCAAGAAGAAATCCTAAATATATTTTGTAGTCAAAACACATAAGACACAGGAACAATGTAACAACGATTCGGAATTTACTATACCTCAGTGGTGAGGTCACCTCTATTCTATGATTCCATAGGTATTGAAAATATTACATACAGAAATTGTTATTATATCCCATGATATACATAGCAATTCGATATGAATTTAAAGTTTAATTCGACTGCCTACATTTAAATGTGATTAAATTATTTCAAAATATCGACACTCTTTAAGAAGATATTGGCTAGATTTTTTAACAAAAAGGTAAATGGCTTCAAAGCGAGCTACTTTAAATTCAAATATGTAAACTTTTAAGTGAGTTAATACATACATAATATGTCATAAGGTCAAATTGCAAAGCAATATAGTTAACAGTAGCATAGTAGTACGCGTTGCATATTTGAGGAGATAGTGTGCCACTCTTAAGAATAAATATTTAATACTATCTGTCTCTCATATATTTTTGTTTATATATTTTTTATTTCAATTATTTTATACGTATTGCAACGTAATATGTATATTATATTTTTCAAAGATACTGTTTCCCAGATATTTTTTTAGCTTTTTATAAAATTGTATTTAATTTTCGTATGAATTTAAAGTGAGAATTAAATACATAACATCTGCCTTTTTAGAATAGTGTAGTATCAAAGAACCAGATGATCGCCATTTCCATCTCAAGAATTAATTTCTAATCAAAAAAAAAAACAAAAACTTCACAAATCAACGTTTTCATCTAGTCTCAATCCACTTGTTCTCATTTCTCAACAACGATCAGCCTATACACAACTAATGAGAGAAAATAAAAGTAATGAACTACACATTCGTAAATCACTTAAGAATTTTTCTCATCGGCACTCTTGTAGTGTTTGCTTTAGAGTTACGAGTACATACTTCGGCTCTTCATTTCATCTTTCACTCCAAATTGGTCATAAAAAATTCTAGCCCCAGAGGCTACTTGCGCGGTAGACTTCTTAAAAGAACTAAATTCCGACATCAAAGAATGTCCATTTATCGGTTTCATCTCTAACTATATCGCAGAAAGTGTTTTTACTTTTGCCTGCCTTACTGAGGACCACACAAGTTGATTTTATTACACAATTCTAAGCTTTACTGTTTAGTAAATAAGAACTATATCTTCATTGTTTGAGTGAGGGTCTGTACTCATTTTCACCGATTTGTCTGTTCTTATCTCAAGGCGGTCAGGGGAGCGTCTTTATTATTCACGCCTGTACGTCAGCTTTAGTACCTGTATTGTATTGTACATTAGCATTTTCTATATAGAAATGGCAGTGAACAAATATGTTTGTTCTTTATTTAATTTCCATATTAAAAAAACTACCAAAAAGTTTACTATTTCTGCTGACTTTACATTGAAAAAGATAGACACATCCTGCTTTAAGCCACAGCCACCAATATTTAGCGTTTCCTCTCACACAATATTATTTAGTTACGTTTTAACGTTTAGTACATATTTCTCAGAGATGAGATATTTTCCCGTTGTGAAATATATCCTACTAGCGGTTCACCCTCGCTTCGCTCGGGTTCGCCTCTAAAAAAGCACTAATAGAGATCTATCAGTTCCCAAGGGAATCGTTCATTTTTCCGGGATTTTTCGTTTGACCGGCAATATAAGGTATCAGAATGTTAAATTTTACTAAATTAGGTGCATAAGTTTTTGTGTACTAAGCTGTATAAGATACTATAGTTTTTTAACTATCCCACGGGAACTTTTTAATTTTGTAGGATGAAAAGTATCTATGATGTTACCGGGGATATAAGGTACCACCATGCAAAATTTCATTTAAATCGGTCAAACAGTTTTGGAGATTAGCCCGTACAAACATACAAACAGACACATAAACAGACATACAGGCAAACAGACAAACAGACAAAATTGTTAATAACTATTGTTTTGGGGTCTATATTGTATACATAATACGTTACAAATAAACAAAAACAGATCTATCCCACGGAAACCGTTCATTTTTCCGGGATGAAAAGTAACGTGTTTCTTGACCGGCAATATAAGGTATCAGCATGCTAAATTTTACTAAATTAGGTGCATAGGTTGTTGTATAAGTTAATATAGTTTTTTGACTGTCCCACGGGAACCCTTTAATTTTACGGGATGAAAAGTAGCCGATTTGTTATTATCGTGTATGAAATATATTATTGTAAAGTTTTATTAAAATGCAATCAGTAGTTTTTGTGTACTAAGCTGTATAAGTTATTATAGTTTTTTAACTATCCCACGGGAATTATTTAATATTCCGGGATAAAAAGTATTTAAGATGTTGCTCGGGGGTATAAGGTACCACCATGCGAAATTTCATTTAAATCGGTCCAATAGATTCGGAGATTAGCCCGTACAAACAGACAAACAGACAGAGAAACAAAAAATTTGAAAAAAAAACTGGATTTGTTTTATTTGTCTTCTTACATCCCCCTGACTCGGTTTTTAGCATTTTTTTGCTATGTAAAGACATTCGACCTCTACTGTTTTATTATAGTACTAGCGGACCCGACCGACGTTGTCCTGTCTACACGTCTTTAATTTGAAAATTTCAAACGTTTTTTTTATAATTTTTTTGATGAAAATTATTATTCAAATTGTGAATCTAAACCATTCCCAGATCCCCTTGAACACACACAAAAAATTTCATCAAAATCGGTCCAGTCGTTTGAGAGAAGTTCAGTGACATACACACTCACAGAAGAATTATATATATAAAGATAAATATGTGGACCCGGATAACCAGCTATCATCATACCACATTTCATCAAAATCCCTCGGGTTTTTCCGTGATGCGGTTACAGATAGGCAGACAGATAGACAAAAATTCTAAAAACTATAGATTCGGCGTCTGTATCAATAATAATGTCTATTTCAATAACATTTTCCAAAAAATATTTAATGTACAGATTCGGCTTCGTTACAATTTTATTATATGTATAGATAGATTACACACAATTGCTACTAACTATTATTATATCAATGCAAGAGCCAAGAGCATTTTGTCAGTTTATTCTTCTTAGATGCAGCAGTACAGCTAAATATCGACGTGCATTTTGCATAAAGATAATCTACGAGCATAAAGTTAAATTTGGGCCACTCATTATACCACTAAGTAGCCTCGTACAAAAAGTAACATTAAAAAGCGCCAGATTAAAGCGAAAACGGGACAGTATTCGAAAGATATATGTGGAAAATGATCTCTTGTCTTGTTCTAACATCTGATACTGACAGATTGACAATCTATTATCGTATCGCTGTTGGCAAACGGATCCAATCATAGTAAGTGGTGTAATAACAGTGGTACATGCAACTGCATGTTATTTTCTTAGGCTGACTATTTTATTTTATACCTATACTTTATAAGGAGGTTTATTATCAGTCAATTCTATTTTGTCTTTTAGTTCTTATGGTTGTGTTTAATACTTTCTCTTTTATGATTTAATGTAATTTGAATTGATGTCAGCAATGTAGTACTTGTTATGACTCAAAAGTAGCAAAAAGCATGGGAAGTATGATCTATAATGAATTAATAATTATTTATCTATGCCAATACATCGATGTCGAGACCAAAATAATAGACCTGGAAGGCAAAAACTTTCATAGCCTATTCTGAAAATGACAGATATTTTTCTAAGATCCCCAAATGTAAAGCATGAGAAAAATTTTGTCTGTCAATTTAAAAAATGTAGCTGGGTTAGGCTGTTTTCTAAATGTAAGAACGGTTAATGCCTTTTAAAACTGTTTATTCATTAATTATTCGTTGCTTAGAAACTGGTTCTTTTTAGCAAATACCTATGTACCTCTAATCGCGAAAGGCAAATCACATCTAAAATTATCATATTTAAATAATTAAACTAACGTCACATTTTATTAGGAAAATAATTATTTTATTTCCTTCTTTCATGTTTAACGCAAAGGCTTGACTCACAGACTATGTCAGCTTACTCATTTGTACCACAACACTTGTACGTGGAATCTTTTAGCGAATCTAAATTAGCTTGTGCCTAAGGAATCACAATCGATGCATTTTGCGGTAAACACGTAGTAAACAGAGCACGTACATCCGACCCGCACTTTCCTAGCATTCCTTCAGTACATCACGATCGAAGACCAGTTTCACGGAGACTAGAAAACTTAGGATATGAGTCAGCTGATGCATAGGCGTTTTGGTAGTGATTGGGAAATGAATTCGTTATTTGAAAAGCAAAATTAAATATTGCATGTGATATACAATGAAAGTTAATCGAGTAAGGTATATTTTGAATTTGAGTTATAACTTTAGTATTGGTTAGTTTGATTTAAAAAAAATCAATTAATAATATATTTCAAACCTCATTTTCATAACTATAAAAATAAATGAAAAAATTTAAATAAAAAATTGTGTCCAAAAATTTTTTTTTTGGGGTGGACCAGCCTTATCACTTAGGGGTATGAAAAATAGTTTACGTCCTATCCTCAGATCTACTGAATATACACACATAATTTCATAAGAATCGGTCAAGCCGTTTTGGAGGAGTTGCAAACACTGTGACACGAGAATTTTATATATTAGATAGATTTTATTTTTATCCGAATGTGGATATTTTTATAAAATAATCTATCCAAGATCACCTTTAAATGGAACTAGTATTTAATAAATACGCACTTAATTTATATGATGATTATTATTTAAATACCCTGTACTTACTTAATGCTAGTTAATTTACGAGTCCATATAATGCAAGTGGATTTAAATTATCATAATGCAAATCGTAATCCCATAATCGGAATGGAACATTTAATCTGATGACGTGTCATCAGATTACAGTAGTAGTAGTATAGTAATATTACATGTAATACAATTTAATCGCAATTCTCTTATAGATACGAAAATTTGTATGTATGTATGTTTGTTTGTTACTTCTAATTCACGCTGAATGGAGAAATTGATTTGAGATTAGTACTTAGTACACTGGTCAACTATGATTTGAGTAACCCATAGGCTACTGTTAATAATAAAATTTACCAAGACGTGGCACTCCCTGTATATCTATATAGTATACAAGCGGCTCACACTCGCTTCGCTCGGGTTCACCTCTAGGAAAACAAAAATCTATCTCACCGTACATTTTTCCAGGATAATAAGCTTATGTGTTATTCCAGACTATAATCTATCTCTGTGCCAAATTTCATCCAGATCCGTTCAGGCGTTCTGGCGTGAAAGAGTAACAAACATCCATACTCACAAACTTTCATATCTATAATATTAGTATAGAAGTATAGATATGTACATAAAAAATTGATGTGTGTATCTATGTTCCCTATAGACTCCAAAACGGCGAATTTGATGAAATTTTCAAATAATCTTCAGATTAGCCCAGTGGGTGATCCTGTGAAGTTTGGTAGCGATCGGAAGTTCGAACGCGGGTGAAGCCGCGGGTATTGCTTGTAATGTTATATATGTAAAAGGCAACTAGAGACTCACCAGAGCGAAGCGAGAGTAAACCGCTAGTAAAATTTAATTATAGAAATATTAGGACGATAGTTTATTAATGATAAAAACATAAATCATTAAAAATACATTTTAATAGAGTCACAAGATTCCTCTCATTGAGTTATTGACAACGTTTGCTGTTAAACGTTCCACATATTTTATTACCATTAAAATTTACAACTGCATTTCATTCCACATGATTAAAACGAGATTTTAATATATCTTTTGAATTTATATAGACTACTTTATTTATGCTCTTTACCTAGTTTTTATTAGAAGAGAAAGTGAAAATCGATTCATGATTTCTGAAATGTTTGATATTAACTAAACCGAATAAGTTATAATTGTGTAATTTACTCGTAGCTCATTTTATATATCATATTTACGGTTAAAAATGCATGTTTTATAATAATTTAGTTTTTTTTTTGTTTCAGCAGTCTTGTTGATTAATTACCGTTAGCAAATTACTTCGGATAGATTTTGTATACATAAAAATCTTGATTTTTGAGGTTAACATTTATAGCGCATAAAT